TGGGGGGGGGGGAGCGCAGGCTGAAACACAAAAAACAAGCGAAATTGTTTTGCTATCACTCGCGCCCAACGCCACACACTACCCTCGCACTTCTTTACCCACTCTCTAGTGCACCCCTCCACACGCACCCGCAAACCCCCGCAGCAGCAGCACCCTGCTGCTCCTGCTGCTGCTGCGGCCGCTGCTCCCGCAGCAGGATACGCGCCCCCGTCCCCTGACCAGCTCCCTGCCCTCTCTCTCCCCGATTTTGCAAATAAATCCTATTAATGCGCCTGACGACAAACTGGGAAACCCAACAGATAGAGCGCGGCTTCTATCTTCAACGCCCTGCTGCAGCACCCGAGGCCCGGGGCTCCAGCTGCAGGCAGCAGCGCCGCCAGACACCCTCGAGCATCCCAGCGGTCCTGACCACCGCTTTCCGGCCGCGCACAAGGCCTCAATAATTAAAACGATCAACGAACTTGCAAGAACTCGCATTTTAACGAAACAATAAACTCTTTTATGCACAATTCAACTCCAGAACCAACGCGCACCCGAGTACGCGCCCAAACTCTAGCGCCCGCCCCACCCTCCCCACAACCCAGAACGGGGGTGCCCCAGCGCCTTCTCGCTGCGGGCTGCGTCTCTTTACAGATAAAGAGATCTGTAGTCATTTTTCTATCTTTTTTAGTTCCAAAGTCGAATTAAGCCTCAGCCTCCAGCCGAAGCAACGGCGACGGCCCGTACGCCCGGCTGTGCGTGTGGTGGTGGCTCGGGGAATGCCTTGCTGTTGCCGCTGCTGGCCGTGCAGCCCTCAACAAAAAAGACAGAGCGAAGGAGAAAAGTAGAATAGAAGCAGAGGCAAATATATGAGGAATCTGCGGTTTAGAAGGGGCAGCAACGGCGACGGGACGGAGGGCTTGGCCGTGGAGGCCAAGGAAGTTATTGATTTCACGTTTTGCCTATAGGGTGGATTCATTTTAAGCATGAATTCCTATATAAGAACTCTAAATTCAGAGTTTAGAGTTTAGGGCTTAGCGTTATAGGACCTAGAAGGCAGCAGCAGGACGGCGGTGCAAGAGTGCTATGCATACGCGTCTCGATTGGCTACGATGGGTGTGATGTGTAGGCCGCTGGTGCTCAGCTTATCAAAAATATCTGGAGAGTGGTGCTACAGTTCTTCTGCACGCACGCAGAAAAGTCCCACCAGCAGTTGCTGCTCAGCAGCAGCTGCTGCTGCAGGCCACGGGGTTAAACTGTAGAGCTTGGGACCCCCAGATGATACTGGCTTGCTTTAAGGGGGCTCCTGCACTGTGCTGCTGCCGTGGCTGCAGCTGCGGCGGTTGATGCTAGGGTTACAGCTGCTGCAGCAGCTGCTGCAGAGTTAGTGCTTGCTGCTGAGCGCTGAGGGCTTGCTTAAAGCCTGCATGCACAGCTTCTTTGATTATTCTATTTCTCCTCTGACACTATTTCTGTTTTAGATCTGTAGCTTTGTCTACAGGCGTCATGGGTGTATACCTCTGTAGCATCTAGATCTATATATGCAATCATATCTTAGTATCTTTGCCTCTCTGCCCCTATGTTTGTATGCCCTTATCTGCATTTATATCAATATCTCTTAATAAATATATATATATTCTATAACTCTATCTTTAACTACGCCCAAATAATTATGAATCTGTATATCTGTGTATCTTTGTATAAAACTACATTTTTTGCATCTATAACTACACCTAGTTATTAATAGATCTATATCTATAACTACGTCTTTGCGTGAATGTATTTCTGTTTATATTTGTTCTTATACCCATGTTCATATTTCTTCATATTTCTACATCTTTGTATGCATATTTATCTATATCTCTACATCTACATCTGTCTTTGTACATCTGTATCTAGATGAGATCTAGGCCTAGATCTACATTCATACCTATCTTTATTATAGGTATATATGTCTTTATTTTTGTTTATATATTTGTGTCTATACACTTATCTATATCTAACTATGTATATACTGCTTCACCTATACTTTCGTCTATATCTTTATATGTATGCCTTTAACCTTATCTGTGTAAATAACTCACATATCTATATGTATAAACTTCCATATTCCCATATATACACATGTCTACATATATGGTAATACAACTTTATCTATATATCCGAAGCTGTCTCTTAATGTTCCCTCTATATAAGTGGTGATCTATATACTCAAATCATATAAAAGTAGTTATATGTGTATATTATCTCCACCTGTATGCCTGTGCCTGTATACCTCCATATATTAGTGCGTCTATTCACCAATATTAACGGCCAAACGCTCCAAAAAGCAGATAAAAAAAAAATATGTATGCAATTACACACTATCTTAGGACCCTCGCAGTCGTTTTGCCCTGAAGCTGCTCACTGCAGCAGCCGCTGCTGCAGCAGCTGCAGCAGCTGCAGCAGTGGCTGCAGCAGCAGCTGCTGCAACTGCTGCAGCAGCAGCTACTGCTGGGCTCAGCAACACAGGCAGGGGAGGGGCAGCGGGGAAAAGGCACGCCATTGCCAGCAGGTGATGCTAGAGATGCTGGTGTTACATTTAGTGCGTAAAAGTGGATAGTATAATGTATATGGCTATATATGCATACATATTCAGGAATTTAGATATAGCTTCAGTTACACTTTATGTGTAAATATTATAGATAAAGGCATACAAATCCGCATATATACAGATGTAGATATAAATATGGATATTATTATAGAGATAGATTTAAAAATTGATATAAAAGTGGAAATAGATATAGATGCAAAAAGGATATAGATATAAGTACAGCTATGGGTATAAATACCTACACCGGAGCCCAATAGACTTAAGCTAAATAAAGCCAACAAGGGCGAGTGTGCGAGAGGCCTGAGGCCTTGCAGCTTCAAAAACGTTCATTTAATCCTTTTTAATTATTAAATGCTATAAGAAGAGCCTTTCGTTTGCTGCTCGTGTTTCCCTTGCTTCTTTTTGATGCTGCTGAGCGTCATGCTGTGCCCATATTTGTTGCTTTTGTTTTTATTCTTTAACGCGGAGGCCCCAGCCCTCTTAGAGTGGCCGCTGCGGCTTTTTCTGTTTCGCCTGTTCCATTTTTTTAGTGGATTTGTTCCTAATTTCAAACAAATGCATTCAAAGGAAGGGAATTGCATGAGCTGCTGCAGATCAGCAGCAAAAAGGTTCCTGGCCCAAGCGCTGCAGTGGCAGCGGAGGCCCTATTTCTAGGTTTGTAGCCCTCCTGTCTAGCAGCAGCAGCTGCTGCCGCTGTTGATCCAGATACTGCTTCTGCTGCTGTTCTTGCTATTGCATCCAGTTTCTTGCCGTTTTGCTGCCTGGGACCCCCAGGCCTCGTCTTCCGCACTACGACTCCGTTTGAGGATTAGGGTTTGTGATTTAGGGTTTAGAGTTTAAAATTTAGGGTTATTTTCATAATTTCAAGGACAGATCGCCCCTAAAGACAACACTGCTGCGTTGCTAGCTGCAAGGGCGGTGCCTCAACCTAGCTCTAAGCCTCGTGTCGATTGCGTGCCTCTTCCCGCTCGGGTCTTATCAGCGGTTTATCTTCCTCTATTTAATTAATAATTCTTTTAAAAACAAAAATTGTGTCTAAACAAAATATTTACGTAAGCTGAGGCAGCAGCAGCAGCAGCAGCAGCGGCGGGAGCGGGGGCCCACAGTGACCTGCGGGTGTCTGGCAGATGTGTCCTTATAAGCGTGAATGTTTCCATTTTGTTTGTTAAATCCTGATATATAAATTTTTAAGATGTAAAAGGCTGCATTTAAAACAAAGATGGCCCAGTGCTGCTGCAGCTGTAGCAGCTGACGCTGAGATCTATGTACACACCAGTCTCGCCCAGGGTCACTGTGCAGCCTCTGCGCCTTCTATTTCTTCTTCTCGCTGTCTCTCCGCATCTTCCCAGCTTTTTTTCCCTTTATTGAACAAACGATTGCTTATCTGAACGGATAAGCATTAGTACGCCTTTTCCTTGGCCAGGCGGGGAGCGCAGCAGCAAAAACGCAGCTGCAATAGCAAACGCAGCTGCAGCAGCAGCTTGCAGAGCAACCCCAGCACACATCAGGGCTGCTGTCAAACAGCCCTCCGGGTTCTTCTGCCTCTGTTACAGCTGCCACTGCAAAACTGCTGCTGCGGCGAGCGCAACCGATCTTACTGCTGCTGCTACTCTGCTGCTCTTGCTGTGGCCGCTCTTTCTGCTGCTGCTGCTGTGCTGCTTCTGGTGGAGCAGCTGCAGCAGCCGGACATGCCTCCTAACAGGGCAGGTGCCTGTTGGGAGGGACATCGAAGTAGGGGTCCATGCACTGGCAGCAGCAGCACCAGAAGCATTGGCAGCAGCAGCAGGTGGGGAGACAGCAGCAGTTGCTGCTCCAAGCTCATAACTTCCACTTGTTTCGCTGCAGCAAAAGAAACATAAAGGCCCCTCATAGCGGCAGCGGCAGCAGCAAGTCAGTGAACGTCATCGCCAGCTGCAGCAGCAGCAGCAGCCACAGCAGCAGCAGCAGCAGTACTGAGGGCAATGGTATCCGTTTCTTCTGCTGGTGGTCCTCTGCAGAAAAATCTGTCCTTCCCTTCGCTACAGCCCACCAGCAGCAGCAGTGCTGCACCAGCCGCCTCTCAGCAGCAGCAAACGACAGCCCCAGCAGCAGCAGCAGCAGCAACTGGGACGCTTCTGCCGTCTCCAGAAGCAGCAGCACAGCCGGCCGAAGGCCTTCACCAGCATTTTTTGGCGCTGCAGCAGTTTCCTCCTGGAGCCCACGCCACCAGCAGCTACAACGGCAGCAGCAGTAGCAGCAGCAGCAGCAGTAGCAGCATCGACAACAAAAAAGAGGAGGCAGTCACCGCGTCGCCTGCTGTTGCCGCTCACCCTGCAGCAAACAGCAGCAAAGCGCCTCCCCCCTTAACCTTCCCTGCGAACACTGAAAGCCTTGAAGACAGCAGCAATCTGCGTCCTCGTGGCAGTAGCAACAACAGCAGCAGCAGCAATACCGCCGAAAGGACAGGAAACAGAAGCAGCGAAAACTGCAGCAGCGGCTTTGACAGCCCTGCCCGCGCTGGGTGCCAACAAGTCAACTGCCCCATCAGCAGCAGCAGCAGCAGCAGCAGCGGCAGCAACGGCAAAGTGCCGCCCTTTGGCTCTTACGAAGAGGGAACGGCGGCAGCATGCGGCGCTGCAGCAGCAGCTATGGTGCAACGCCTTGGGAACTGTCGGGAAATAGAGGAGAAAACAGAAGATGAGCCAGAAGCAGCAGCAGCAGCAGCTGCTGCAGAACTCGCTGCTGCTGCTGCTGCTGCTACTGTCCTGAAGCCATCCCTAGCTGCCAGCTCAGCCGCAGCAGCACCAACAATTCTGCTCGCAGCTCCAGCGCCCGTAGCAGCAGCAGCAGCAGCAGCAGCAGCTCTTCCCCAAGTAGGCTCACCGCCAGCCCTGGCACAAACAGCAGCAGCAGTGCCAGCAGCGGCAGCAGCAACTTCTGCTGCTGCTGCCCCGGAAAGGCCATCAGGGGACCCCAAACGCGCGCCACAGCGCGTCAGGCCCGTCTTTATCTCTCCTCTCTGCTGCGGCTCCATTCCCGTTTCAGATAACTCTTCCCAAAGTGACTGCTGTCCTGCTGCTGCTGCTGCTGCTTCCTGGGGGGAAGCACTGGGCGCAGCGCCGCCGGGCGGTGTAGCAGCAAATGCATTAGCAGCAGCGGCACCGCCCGCTGCAGCGACGGCAGCAGCAGGCGGAGGGGCTGTGACTCCTCATGCTGCTTCAGCGGGGCAGCAGCAAAAGGATTTCACGTTTCACGCTGAAGTTAAGCTGCAGCAGCAGCAACTGTATGCGCAGCAGCTGCAGCAAACTCAGCCGCAGCAGCAGCTGCCGCTGCAGGCAGAGCCCCCGGCGCCATTCATAACAGCCCCAAGTGCTAGGAATGCAGAAATATTGGGGCAGTCAGCGACAGCAGCAACAGCTGAAGCAGCAGCAGCAGCAGCAGTGGCAGCAACAGCAACAGCGACGGCAACAGCCACGGTGACGGCCAAGAACGCGTACGGAGGAGAGCCTCAGCAGCACTGCATCCAACAGAGGCAACAGCAAAACGCTTCTAGGTACCTTGCTGCCGCAGCTTCTGTTCCAGCAGCACAGCTGCAGCAGTTCGAAGGCCCCCAAGATCTTCCTGTGGTGGCGCTGCCGATGCTGCAGCAGACGCAGCGGCCACTGCAGCAAGCCCAACAGCAGCAGCAGCAGCAGCAGCAGTTGCTGCTGCTGCAGCCGAGTCAGCAACAACAGCAGCAGCTCATTACAACTGTTGCTGTTGGTCGAAACTCCGCAGCTCAATCTGCACAGCTACGCCCTGCAGCCCCAGCAGCAGCAGCAACAGCAGTAACAGAAGTGATGGTGGTGCCAACAGCAGCACCGGCACCCTCAGCGCCGGCAGCAGCAGCAGAAACAAAAGCAAAGGAACCACGGGTACCGGGATCAGCAGCAGCAGCACCTGCTGCTCCTGCTGCAGGAATAAGTGAAGCAGCTACAGGTGAACGGTCAGGGGGAGACGGCTACGCCGGAGATGCAAACTCCTTGCGTAAAGCTTCTTCTGCTGCTCCTGTTTCAAAATCAGCAGCAGCAGCAGCAGCAGCTATTCACGGACGCCACCACCCTCACCCCAGCTGGGTCTCGGTGCATCAGGGGACACAGCAGCCCGCGGCCCAGAGTAAGCGACACAGTTGCATGGCCTTCATAACTCTACAACATTACTGCTGTTGGTGCTGCTGCTGTTTGGTTTTGCTGCTGCAGCAGCTGACCCCTTTGCTTTGTGTGCTGCTGCTGCTGCTGCTGCGGCAACTGCTGCTTCTGCTACACTTCACTGCAGGACGCTTGTCTTGCGTGTGTGGGCCGGTGCAGCTGCGCAGCGCGCAGCGCCAGCTGCTGCTGCTGCTGCTGCGAACAGCAGCAGCAAACCGCTGCAGCGAATGAGAACCCGAGCCGCTGAGCTCCCACGAAGCGCTACCGGAGAGCCCGTCCGCTTTAGCTCCTCGAGGCAGCAGCTGCAGCAGCTGCAGCAGCAGCTGCTTATGCTCAAGCAGCAGCAGTGCGGTTATCGGAGTAAGTGCCGCGGCTGTTTCTGTGGCGTTCCAGTGACCAGTACCGCATAGAAACATCTAGCTCTTAGAGAATGACTAGCAGGCCAGCCAACTAACGAATTAGATCTCCCCTGCATGCTAGCTAGCTGGTCTTCTTGGCAGTTACCGGCTAGCTAGGCCTTCGTGCAGCAGCCAGTCAGTTAGCCAGCCAAGTAGCTAGCTAGCCACTTGGTTAGCCCTACTCTAGGCTGAGCAGCCTAAACATCCCAACAGCTATCTTCTTATAATGCTGTCAATCAGTCACACACAGAACATGCTGAACATGCCAGCAGGCTGGCAAGCTGGCTGGCTAGCTGGCTGGCTAGCTGGATAATTGGCTCGCCAGGGTGGTAGTTGAGTAGCTAGCCAGAAGGCGGAAAGGCTACAGTGTTGTTAGAGACACCTTTGTACATCTCCGCTGCAGCTGCTGCTTGAAAGTGCTCTTCTGCGGCGACCGTGCTGCTGCGCTGCAGGTGCAGCAGCAGAGCAGCAGCAGCCGCTCCTGCTGCAGGAGGCGCTTGCTGCTATTGCTGCTGTGCGCGACGACCTCGTGGGGCAGCTGCCGAAGAAGCTGCAAAGCTCTGAAGGCAGAATGACCCGGCTAAGAAGCGCAGTCCACACTGCCAGCAGCAGCAGCAGCAGCAGCTGCAGCAAAAAGTTCGTTCCAGCAGCGAGGCAGCCAGCACCTCACACCTTCAGCAGAGTCCAAGGCGCCGGACATGCTCATCATGTCATTCCTGCTTGCTCTTCTCCCCAGAGTCTGCAGTTAAGGCAGCAGCAGCAGCAGCATGGGCAGCCAAAGGGAGGTCCACAGCTGCAGCATCTGCACACCGATGCGTCGAAGACGTGCTGCTGCACCTGCGGCCATATGTGCTGCATCACGGCCAGAGAAGCCGCAGCTGCTGCAGCAGCTGCTGGTAAGGGTTTGGCGAACACAGCTGCTAGCCCGGAAGCAGCAGCAGCCACGGCAATAAGAGCAGCAGCTCTAAGTGCTTCTGCTGCTGCAAACAAGGCTCATTCTGCTGCCCCCAGCAGGCAAGCAAGCCGAAAGCTGTGGGAGGGAGGAGGGCAGGTGGTTGCTGCTGCAGCGGCTGCCGCTGCTAAAGCAGCTGCCGAGGCTGCAGATGCTGCTGCAGCAGCAGCTGCTGCGCAGGTTGTGCGTTCTGTCACAGCTGCAGCAGCCAGGGAGTTAATTGCGGCGTCAGGTCGCCCTCCTGGGGCCTTGGTGTCTTCTCTAGATGATGTTGCTGCCGCTGCTGCTGCTGCCCCACCGCTCTCTGCTCAGGAGTCTCATCGGCACTTTGGCTGCTGCGAAGACACAGCGGCATCACCTGCTGCAGCGGCAGCAAGCAACAGTGCGAGAAGCAACGGCGACAGCAGCAGCAGAAGCAAAGGCGACAACTGCAGCAGCAGCTCCTCTGGAAGAGATGCTGTCTTCCCCAGGGCTTTGCGGCCCTCCAAGAAAAGGGCTTGGTGCGTTGGCTGTAACTCCCCAGCTCTGCAGCAGCAGCAGCAGCAACAACAGCAGCAACAGCAGCGCAGGCAGCAAAGGCCTAAAAGCGCATTCACTAACGCGACAGTAACGCCAAATGCCTGCAGCAAATACCGCCGGTTTCAGTCAGCGCCACCCTCTCGCCGCACTCCTAGCAGCAGCAGCAGCAGAAGCAACAGCAGAGGAGCAGAAAGATACGATGCTGCAACTCCTCTACCGTCAAGACGGCCGCCACCTGCGGGGAGAGAAGCAGAGGCTTGTCGAAGCAGCGCTGCTGCTGCAGCTCCGCGCTCCCCGCAGCAGCAGCGGCAACGGCAGCAGCAGCAGCAGCAACAGCAACAACGACAACAGCAAATAGCGAAGGCGCCTTCGAAGGAACCGTCCTTTCGGGATGAGCTCCGCGCGCAGCAGCAGAAGAGGTACGACGCAAAGCTGTCACGGATGAGGCTGCAGCTGCAGCAGCAGCAGCAACAGCTGCAGCAGCAGCTGCAGCGACACCCAACCCTGCAGCCCCCGTGGAACAGCAGCACTGCTCCTGCAGCACCAGGAGCAACAGCAGCGCCACAAGGTTCTCCGAAACTGCGCACAGCAGCAAAACTGCCCGCAGCTGAAGTCGAGGCAATCTCGGCAAGGTAGGGACAGCAACAGCAGAAGCAGACGCAGCAACGGCAGCAGCAGCAGATGCAGCAGCAGCAGGGATATCAATAGAACGGGAGAGTGCAGGAACAGAAACTGCTGTGTTGCGAGCGCCGCAAATGTCTGCTGCAGTGGCTGCTGCAGCAGCTTCTGCAATATGCTTTGGATGCTGCTGAGCTCTCAGGTTGCATGGAAGAGCCAAGCAAATGACGGAAATGCGTCTCTTGCGGCAGCAGCTGCAGCAGCAGCAGGAACTCCTGCAGCAGCAACAGCAGCGGGAGATGCTCGCCCGAGCCTACAGCTGGCCAAACAGAAGTAACAGCAACAGCAGCAGCAGCAGCAGTACCAGCACTCGGGGAAAGACACCGGGTCGCCCATGGAAGCAGCAGCTGCAGCTTCAGCACGAACGGGAGGTGCTGCAGAGGCTGCAGCAGCAGCAGCTCCAGAAACAGCAGCAAAGACAGGAGGAGCAGCAGCAGCAACTCCAGCAGCAGCAGCAAGCGGCTCCCCAGCTTTCCCATACGACAATAGGACCCGAGGCAAATGCGGAAACTCTCTCAGCCAACAGCATTAGTCGGAAACATGAGCAGAAGCAGCAGCAACAGCAGGAAAGGCAGCAGCAGCAGGAAAGGCTGCAGCAGCAGCAAGAAGAGCAACTGCCACAAAAACAGGACAGTGCAACTAATCAGCGATCTTCAGCTGCTGCGGGGGCCAAGGCGAGCCCAGAAACTGCGGAACTTCCGCTGCAGCAGCAGCAACAGCAACAACCGCAGCAGCAACAGCAGCAACAGCAACAACAGCAGGAACAGCAACAGCAGCGAGGAACAAGTACGCACGAGCAGCTCCTGCAGATGCACCAGCAGGAGCTGTTTGAGTTGCGCCAGCAGGAACAAAAGCACCAACAAATGCTTCTGGCGTTGCAGCAGCAGTTGCAGCAGCAGCAACAACAACAACAACAACAGCAGCAGCAGCAGAATCTGCAACTGCAGCAGCTGCTCGAGCGCACTCAACAGCTGCAGCCAGGAAGAAAAAGCAGAACCCCGTCAACTCCAGCTAAACGGCAGCCGCTGCGCAGATCGCTGCAGCAGCAGCAACAGCAGCACCAGCAGCAACAGCAGCAACAGCAGCAACAGCAGCAACAGCAGCAGGGGCAAGAAGGGTCTCCGCAGGCGCCTCAGCGTCAGCAGAGCCAAACCGTGCAGCAGCAGACTCAGACAGAAATGACATTGTCAGCTGCTGCTGCTGGCGACGCTGCTGCTGTTCTGTACACCTCGAGGTCTCTCGAGTACCCCTATGCCGCTGCTGCTGCTGCTGCTGATGGAGTGCAGAGACGCAGCAGCCTGACCCGCTCCCAGCAGATCCTTTTCCGAGGGAGAGTGGCGCTGCCGCTCTCGCGGGGGCTCCTCTGCTGCAGCAGCAGCAGCAAGTGCGCGTTTGCTACCGCAGCAGCAGCAGCAGACGATGCTGTCACTGCAGTCCAGTGCAAGACTCGGGGAGGTAGAGGGAGCCCAAACGCTAGCAATCCAAACCCAAGACTCTGCAGCAGCAGCAGCAGCAGCAGCAGCGGCCCCGCTAAGAAGCTTTTCTTCAGGGCAGGTTGGAAGCATTGCGTGGTCAGAAGGAGAGTGGAGGGAAACGGCTACAGTTGGGCACCCCATGCAGCAGTTCTTCACGCTGTCACAGCTGCAGCAGCAGCAGCAGCAGCAGCAGCACGAGCAGCAGCAGCTGTACGCACAGCTCAGCACCGTCGCACAGAGCTTTGCGGGTGTCAACAACAGCAGCAGCAGCTGCACCAGTGGTCATCAACGGCTGCCTCTGGCACATTCGGGCAGCGGCAGCGCTGTCCAGTACTCTTTGTACCAGCAGCAGCGGCAACAGCAGCAGCCGCAGCAGCAGCAGCAGCAGACGCAGCGCCAGCAGACGATGCAACAAACGATGTCTGGTGCTTCACCCGATGCAGGCGCTAGCACTCCCCTGTTGCTGCAGCTCCGGAAGCTACACGGAGGCTCCAGAATACATTTGGACTCGCAGCAGCAGCAGCAGCAACAGCAACCGCAGCAGCTATCGCAGGGGGAAGTTAACTGGGTTGCTACAGCGTCAGGAGAGGGGCTTAGAGAACTGCAGGAGCAGCGTGTCGCTGCTTTGCTACAGCAGCAGTTACAACAGCAACAGCAGCATCCACAGCAGCAACGGCAGCAGCAACAGGGGGGACAAGGCACACGCAATTGCATGACGCAGCAACAGCAGCGAGGCAGTCCTAGCTGGGGCGAGGCAGCAGCAGCTAGGGTGAGACGAGCTGAAGAAAGTAGTCCCAGGAGGCCCCCCCAGCAGCAGCAGCAGCAGCAGCAGAAACCGCAGCAGCAGCAGCTGTTGCAGCAGCAGCTGTTAAAAAAAGACCGCGAGACGCCGCTGTTGCCTGCTAGCCACCGGCAGCTAACTCGTCCCTGCAGCGACACTGCGTTGCCCCCGCAGCGGCAGCAGCAGCAACAGCTGCTACAGCAGCACAGGCATTCCTCAGCTGACTTCTCAGGCTTCCGTCCTGCTTCCGTTCGGAGGCAGAAGCCAAGCAGGAGCTCACTTCCTGCTCCTAGTGCTGCTGCTGCTGCTGCTGCTGCTGCCGGCGGCCGGCCCATTTCAGCTGGCAGTCCTGTTCGTGCAGCAGGCGCTGTCGCTGAGCGTTCGCCAGCAGCAGCAGCAGCACACAGGAATTCGCGGCTGTCGCTCCAGGGGAGCAGGCCTTCTGAACAGCAGCAGAAGGGGCGGGAGCAGCTGCAGCAGCAACCGCAGCAGCAGCTTTACGCGGAGCCACCGGGACAGCCTCTGAAGCACGTTATAAAGCCAAGCAACAGCAAAGCGACTCAGGGAGGGCAGCAGACACTCCGCAGTGCAGCTTCCGCAGCAGCCGCGCCAACGGCAGCAGCAGCAGCAGCAGCTCTGCAGCAACGAGAGACGCCGCAGCATAGCAGGATAGCAAGACCCAGGCCCCTTCCTTCCCCGAGGTACGAACAGCAGCAGCAGCGGCAGCAGCAGCAGCAGCTGCAGCTGCAGCTGCAGCCTGCACATATAGTTGCGCAGCCGCAGCCCAAAGGCCTCCGCGGCGCCTCTGGCTCTTTTCAAAGTCTTCGCTCACCACCTGTGTGGAGAGGCGACATTCAGGCGCAGCAGCCGCAGCAGCAGCAGCAGCAGCTGCTGCTGCAGTGGAAGCAGCAACCGCAGCAATCAATAGCCAAGCCAGAAACGTCACTGATAGCTCCAGGGAGGGGCCAGAAAGTGCAGCAGCAGCAGCAGCTGCAGCAGCAGATGCCGCTGCAGCAACAGCTGCTGCTGGAGCAACCGCAGCGAGGTCCAGGCACACCTCATAATCCATATTTGCAAACATCAGGAACTTCTTCTGCTGTGCAGCAGCAGCAGCAACAACAACGCTTGCACGTCATACCGCGAAGAACCCATGCAGGGCCTGAGCTGCAACAAGCTCAGCAGCAGCAGCAGCAGCAGCAGCAGCGCAGCCTGAGAAGCCCGCATAGAACCTCAACGCTGCTGCCGGTGCAGCAGCAACAGCAACAGCACAATCAGCGCATGCAGCAGCGAGACTGGGGCTGGACGTAGTGCGCCTAGGCCTTCTGCTGCAGCAGCTCTGCTGCAGCAGCTCTGCTGCAGCAGAAGGCTGGCGTCTGCTGCAGCAGGTTCCGTAAAGGGAGCCAGCTGCCCCTGCTCCCAAGATGGGTGCAAGAGGCGACGCGACCCTTTAGCTGCAGCTGCAGCAGCAGCTGCTGCGGCTTTGTGGCTGTCGCTGCTGCTGCGGCAGCAGCTCAGCCTCTGTAGCTGATGCTGCTGCGGCAGCTGCAGCTTTGTCTTCGTAGCTGCTGCAGCAGCAGCTACTGCGGCCAACCCGCAGCAGGTAACGCTTAGCATTTGCTGTTCAATTTAACAGCAGTTCCTATGATTCTGTCTTTGCTCCTTTATTCTTAACAAGCCTAGCAGCTGCAGTACCAGGTGTCCGTATACTGCAGAAAGAGAGCGCGCGCACGCAGCTACTTTAGCTCCGCCGCCAGTGCTGCTGCTGCTGCTGCTGCTGTTGTTTCACCCGCAGCCAGAGCAGCAGGAGCAGCAGCTGCTGCTTCTGCTGCAGCAAGACTCACGCGACGCTCCTCAGTGGAGGCTAGGCACCCCACAGATGCAGGTGCAGTTGCTGCTGCGGGCTGCGCTGCAAGTCAGCAGCAGCAGCACCACTAAAACTCAGCAGCAGCAAAACTAGATATGAAGCAGACTCTGATTTGCTGCAGCCGCAGAGGCGCATGACACAGTAAGTGCAAACATATCAACAGTAGCAGCAGTAGCAGCGGCAATACCAGCGGCAGCAGTAACAGCAGCAACACCAGCAGCAGCAGCAGCAGCAGCAGCGACACCAGCACCAGCAGTACCAGCAGCAAAACCAGCAGCATCAGCAGGCGGAGTGCGAGCAGCAGATGTGCACTGGGCCTTAGATACGGCCAGCAGCTCTAGCGCCTACCGCCCCGCTTCCCACGCATAAGCTAGCAGGGCATATTAAGCTGCGGCAGCAGCCACTGCTGCTGCTGGCGCTGATTAATAGGCTCAGCAGCAGCAGCATCCGCTGCTTCCGCTTATTCTTATTCTGCTGCTGCTGCTGTTGCTGCAGCCATGACTAGCGACAATTCAATAGCCGGCCTTTACTGCAGCTCCCTTGGGCAAAAGCCTTAACTAGCGAGCCAGCAGCAGCGCATAAGACCTAGCCCTTCTTACTGAGGGCTCTGAGGGAAAGAAGAGCCCCAGGCAGCAGCAGCTGCTGCGCTGAAGCGCTGGGGAGGCTGCAGGCTCTCAAGTCCGTGCAGCAGACATGGGGCAGCCCTTAACCCTGTGCTGCAGGTGGGCCCACACAGCGCCTGCTGCTGCCAATTAGAGATGCAGCAGCTAATAAAGACAAATGAAACAGGCGTGGGGGTGGAGAGGGCTGTGAAACGCTGAGACAGACCAGTAGCAGAAGAGAGGCAGCCGTCGGCTGCAGGGGGAGCTGCTGCTTGTCACGCGGCAGCAGCAGCTGCTGCTCATTACTGAATTATTAATGTAGTTTAGGGTTTCCTTTAGACAAAACAACTCTCCTTACTTTGAATCTTCTGCAGCTGAAGGGCAGCCAAGGCTACTGCTCGCAGTGCTGGGGCTAGAGCAGCTCACGCCGCCACTGCAGCAGCAGTGGTAGCAATAAACTCACAGCCACTAGGGGCTTCCTCAGGCGGGGATCTTCTGTAAACAACGCACTGTAATGGTTCCGTAGGGTGTCCTGCTGACAGATGATGGGTCTGTGCAGCTGCAGCAACGCAAGCAGCAGCAGCAGCAAGAGCAGCAGCAGCAGCAGTAGCAGCGGGAGACCAGGGCTCGGCTGAAACCGCACGTGTCTCGAACAGGAAAGCAGACCAGATCCAAGAAGGGCTTGGCCAAGGGTACGTGGCGAGTGACAACAGCGACGGAAACAGCAGCAACAGCAGCAGCAGCAGCACCAGCGATAGCATCGTAAGCGGGCGTCCCACTGCGGTGTCTGTACACTTTAGACAGAATCCGCAGCACCGCCGCAGTAGGAGCTGCAGCGTAACAGAGCGGAAGGAAGAGAAGCTGCTGCAGATCCGGGAAGGGGGAGCACAGCGTTTCAAGCGGTGGCGGCAGCAGCAGCTGTAGCAGCAGCAGCAGCAGCTGCCGCTACTGCAGCCGCAGCAGCAACAGCAGCAGCAGCAGCTGGCACGACTGCAACCGCAGCATCAGTCGCGGTAGCAGCAGCTGCTGCAACTGCAAGTGCTGCAGCTGCAGCAACAGCGACAGCATCCCTACACGGCGAGGCCCATGGGGGCAAACGTATCGTCGGAGGAGAAACAACTGCAAGCGTCGCTGCTGCTGCTGTCAGCAGATATCCCGCAGCAGCAGCAGCAGCAGCAGTGGCGTTGCGTTGCCGTGTCTCTGCTGCAGCACTTTGCAAAGGAGACTCCCTGCAGCTGGTATGTCTTGCTGCTGCGGCGCCTGCTGCCTTCAGTGCTGCTCGGGCTCCTGCAGCTGCTGCCACTGCTGCTGCTACTGCTGCTGCTCTTTCTGCTGCTGCTGCACCGGAGCTTCTGGCCGCCGCTTTTGTGGGGTGCTGCAGGGCGGACGTGAGGTGTACAGACAGCCTGTGGCAAAAGGGATGGCAACTTGTGGATGAGGCCTCTTTGCTGCTAGACGACTTTCTGGGGGCACTGCAGCAGCAGCAACAGGAACAGCAGCAGCAGCAGCAGCGGCACGGCGTCCCACCGACTCGCGCAGTCGGCGTTCTTCCAGAGCGGGCTCACCGCAGCTCTTCCTCAGATGCTGCGGATGCTTCAGAGCAAGCAGCAGCTGCAGCAGCTGCAGCAGCTGCAGCAGCGGAAGCCGCAGCAGCAGCATTTGAGAACTGGCAGGTTGACACTTTGCTGCTGCTGCAGGTGGCGGCGCAGCTACTGAAGTCGCATGCACTCTTTAAGGCAAGCCCGTGCTACTTCTGCTGCTGCTGATGCTTTTGCTGCTGCTGCTGCTCTTGCTGCTGCCTTTCAAAACGCGCCTTCGGATGATCAGCAGCAGAACGGGCGGCAGTTGTTGCTGTTGCTTGTGCTGCTGCTGCTAATGTGCGTGATTCTCCGTTACTGCTGTTGCTTGCGTTTCAAACGGTTCTGCGGCATTGGCTACTGCTGCTGTTGCTGCTGCTGTTTCTGCTGCCGCTGTGGCTGCAGCAACTAGCGCTGCTGCCGGATGGTTCTCCCCTTCGAGCTTTTCTGCAGCAGCTGCTGCAAGGCGCGCGTCGCATGCGTTGCGCCATGGGTACGGCACCTGCAGCAGCAGCAGCAGCACCTACTGCTGCTGCTGCTGCGGGACCAGCAACAGATGCGTCCGACGCACCAGAGGAAGAAACCCGTGCAGAAGAGCCTCGGCAGCAGCAGCAGCAGCAGCAGCAGCCGCAGCATGCGTTGCTACGGCTGTATGTGCAACAGCTCGCACTCGTCAGAGCGCTGACTGCCTTGGCGCTGCAGCTTGGCTGGAGCGTGTTCAAGCACGAGGAGCAGCAGCAGCAGCAGCAGCTTACACGTAAGGAGAGGCGGCAGCAAGCGAAGATGCATGCGCTCTCAGTGGCCTGGAGAGAGAGATGGATCAGCCAAGATTTGCTGTTAGAGTTGCTGCTCTTCTGCCGCCACCTGCAGCAGCACCAGTTGCGTTTGCTGCAGGAGGAGGAGGAGCAGCAGCAGGAGCAGCAGCAGCAGAGAAAGTGGCAAGAAGGGAAATTCGCCAGCTGCACTGCTGCGCACTCGCGGTGCAGCGCTTCAGCGGCAGCAGAAGCAGCAGCAGCCACAGCAGCAACGGCAGCAGCAGCAACTGTTGATGTCCCCCGATCTTTGCTGTACATTGGCGTTCCCCTCGCAGGTCTATGCTCGTCTCCTCTGTGGGCATCAACACGGGCGAGCAGCAGCAGCAGCAGCAGCAGCAACAGCAGCAGCAGCAGCGGTAGCAGCAGCACCAGCAGCGACCTTCCACGTCCTCTTTCTCACGGCTCCGCCACGGAAAATATGTGCGTATCGGCAGCAGCAACGACAGCAGCAGCAGCACCCACATCAACAGTAGCAGCAGCTCCCACAGCAGCAGCAGCAGCAGCGGCAGCAGAAGCGCCAAACAGCGATGAGCGGTTTGGCCCGCAAAGCAGAGGAGGCCCCACGGCAGCAAGCCAGCAACCTCGTTCAGAAGCAGCAGCTGTTGCTGCTGCTACTGCTGTTGCTGCTGCTGCTGCTGGTCCTGCTTCTGCGGACACTGCTGCTGCCAACGGCCTCTTGACGCCTCCCCGTGATCTGCTGGCTGCTGCTGATGCTGAAGTTGTCTGTGCGCTGCTGCAGCTGTGCTGCTGCTGCCTGGGCGAGAAGCAGCACAGTCCCATCTCTCTTCTGCTGCGGGCTGTCTCTGCATGCAGCAGCAGCAGCAGTGTGGGTCTGCTGCTTGACTTAACGCAGCACCCTACAGCTAGCTGCAGACACAAGGTAAATTCCTTGCTGTTGTTGCCTTTGTTTCCGTCGCTGCTGCTACTGCTGCTGCTGCTGTTGTACCTGCTGTTCAGATGGCGGCATACGTCGCTGCAATCGGAGGCGTTAGTGCTGCTGCAGTTGCTGTTGTTGCTGGCATTTCCAGCGCGCGTCTATTGCTTCAGCAACTGCAGAGATTCCAGGAGCAGCAGCTGCTGCTGCATTGAAGACAGGAGTAGCAGCAGCAGTGGGCTGCCTACGAATGTGACAGTAGCCTCTGCAGCAGCATGTGAGCCTGTGGTTTGGCTGCAGGCTCTGCTGCTGCTGCAGCTGCTGCTACTGCATTCGTCTGCCCCCCTCAGACGCCAAATTGCTGCTGTTGCTATTCGCGTGGGTATGGTGTTGCCACTGCTGCTGCGGCTGTTGCTGCTACTGCAACCGCCTGCGGAGCAGCAGCAGACTGTGAGCCGCCCCAAAGTCGAGCGCAGCTCAGCACTGCAGCAGCAGCAGCAGCAGCGACTACAGCACCAGCTTCGGCAGGAGCAGCAGCAAGCGCCGCGGAAGGGAAGCGAGGCATCAGGAGAGCCCAGCAACTTCGTTGCTGCTTGTGACTGCTTTGCTGCTGTTTACGCTGTTGCTGGCGACAGTAGCTTGCTGCCAGTGAGCACGGAACAGCATCAGCAGCAGCAGCAGCAGCAGCAGCAAGCAGAAGGGGCGCTGCTGTTGAGTGTTCTGGCGCTGCTTTGTGGGGGAGTAGAACCTGCAAGCAACAGCAGCGAGGGAAGCACCTACAATAGTTACAGCAGCAGCAGCAGCAGCAGCAGCAACGGCAGTGATGCCCGAGACTTGCTAGTGCTGCTTCAAGTGCTCCCTCCTCCTGCCCTGCTGCAGCTGCAGCACTCCTCTACTGCAGCGTCGTGGCGCTTCCGCAGCAGCAGCAGCAACAGCAGCAGCAGCGACGGCGCTGTCTGCCCGATTGTTAGGATGCAGCTGTCTACGTCCTCAGCAGCAAAAGGAGATACAACGCTGGGATGGGAATGCAACAGCAGCAGCAAAGGCGAGAAGCTGCTGTCTCCCTGCAGCAGCTGGGAGCCTCCCCTGAAGTGGCGACTCTTTGCCTCTGCGCTGCAGCAAGCCCTTTGGCAGCCGCAGCAGCAGGACTGCAGCGACAGCAGCAAATACACCGCGGCTTTGTTACTGCTGCTGCAGCAGCAGTGGGAGGATCTGCTGCTCTTTCGAGGCCTTTGCGGTGGGCTATACGCGGAGCTGCAGCAGGAGGACTGGGGTTCTTTGCTGCTGCTGCACGTGCAGCAGCAGCAGAAGCCAGAACGACAGCAACAGCAACAACAGATTCCACAGTACCAGATATTTCTGAGGGTGCCTCGAGGACTCGGTGACGAGCAGCAGCAGCAACAGCAGCAGCAGCAGGGGTGGGGTGGCTGCAGAGCGCTCTTGCGACCTGCTGAGCTGTTGCAGCTTGTGCGTCGCCTGTCGCTGCTGCAGCGCATGCAAAGAAGACGCCGCGCAGCTTCTGCTGCTGCCTTAACTGGCAGCAGGAGCAGCAGCAGCAGCGCCGCCGATGCCTGGGAGTGGGAGCTGCTAGACCTGCATCCTGTGCGCAAGCATGGAGGCGGCAACACTGGCTGCAGCCATGGCAGCAGCAGCAGCAGGAACAAGGGGAGCAGCAGCTTGGCCAGCTTCGAACTAGTGAGCGAAGAGCCAGCCACAGCAGCAAAGCCGGCTGATCGGGCTGCTGCAGCTGCTGCGGCAGCTGCAGCCGCTGCAGCTGCTCGCCTTGCGGAAGGAGCAGCGTGCTCTGTTTTGCAGCGCGGTGGGGAGGAACTGCTGCTTCTGCAGCACGCTGCAGCAGCAACAATTGTTACGGACCCTCCGGCGATGTGCAGAGTAGGATTATGCTGCTGCTGCCTTGCAGCTGCCATTCGTTGTGCGGCTGCACTGCTGCTGCCCTTGCTGCTGCGTCTGCTGCATCTCCTGCTAATGCTGCTGCGATTTCCGCTGCTGGTGCTGCTGCTGCAAGCGTATTCTCCCACTGCATCTGCCGCTTTCCGCAGGCTGTCATGCAGCAGGTGCTGCTGCACTCTGCAGCGCCGGCTGCTGCTCCCTTGCCGCTGCTGCTGCTGCTGTGGCAGCGGCTGCTGCAGTGCTACCCACAGGCGCTGCAGCTGGCCAGCAACATGAGCAGCCAAGACGCACATTTGCTGAGCGACTGGTTTTCTGTGTTACCCCCAGCGGCGCCAGCAGCAGCAGCGGCAGGAGCAGCAGCAGCAGGAGCAGCAGCACCACAAGGGGTCTACTTAGAAGGAATTGAGATCGCAGTGGCTCTGCTGCACCAGGGCGGCGGGCTGCTACCAGCGGCTCGCTGCCTTGCCCTGAACGTGTTGCTGCTGCTGCTTGCTGCAGGCAGGCAGCAGCAGCAGCTGCAACGGCAACGCCTTGTGCAGCTGCTGCTACAGTGCGGCGGACATTCTGTGCTGCTGCTGCTGCTGCACGCGTTCGTGTCACAGGAGCTGCTGCAGCTCCACTCCAAGGTCTGCGAGCAACAGCAGCAACGAGGCGCGGCCCTTAGCAGCGACAGCAGCAGCAGTCGGCGCGCCAGTGCCTTGTTGGCGACGGAGGCTCTGCTACTGCCGCCTGTTTCTAAGGCAGCAGCAGAGCCAGCAGCCGCAAGGGCAACCGCAGCAGCAGAAGCAGCTGCTGCTGCTACTGCTGCAGCAAAAGCTGACGTGAGCGCGGATATTGGCAGCACTGACTGCGACAATCTGGCGGCTCCCAGTCAAGCAGCATCACGGAGGGACTGCGGCGCCAGTCACTGCAGCAGCAGAGGCAGCAGCAGACGCAGCAGCCGAGCGAGCAGCAGCAAAAAGAGGACCAGCAAGGGCAGCAGCAACAACGGAAGCATGCGGGACAGCAGCAGCCGCAGCAGAGCGAAGAGGAAAACTCTTCGACGCTCAGCTGTGCAAAGAACGAGCCTCTCGCCCTTGAGAGCACAGCCGCAGCAGCAGCAGCAGCAGCTAGAGCAGCAGCAAGAGCAGCAAGAAACCCTATTGCTGCCATCTCTTCTCAGCACTAAGATTTCTGCAAACTACTCAGACTGTTTGACTAGCAGCCGAGGCAGTAGACGCAGCCACAGCGTGTGCAGCAGCAGCAGCAGCAGTGGCACGGGAAAGCGCAGCAAGCGCAGCAACGGCAGAAGAGATCCGCACGTCCCTCACGACGTTAAGAGCGTTGAAGCAACGGCGGCAGCAGCCGCAGCAACAGCAACAGCAGCAGCATCTCGGTGCGGCCGGCCAATCGCGAAAAAGCAACACTTAGAGCAACAGCTGCAGCAGCAGCAAACAGGCTGCACCTTGCTACAGCGGCAATGGCTGCAGCGCGGAGCGGGTGCTGGGTCCCTGGATGGTGGAGAGCCGCTTCAGCAGCATCATCATGAGGAGCAGCAGCAGCAACAGCAGGAGCAGCAGGAGCAGCAGCAGCAGCAGCAGCCGCAGCAGCAGCCTTTGCTCCTGGTACCTCCTGAAGCAAAATTTGCCGTTGCAAGGATCTCGCCAGCAGAAGCAGCTGTCACATTGCGGGTGCTATTTCTGGGGTGTACGTACAGCTCAGCGCTTGCTCGCCAGCTGTGCTGCAGCCGCGGCACACTGCAGCAGCTGCTGCTGCTGTTGCTATTGTCGCAGCAGCATGAGCGGCTGACAGTCGGAGCATCGAAGCTACTGCTGCTGCTGCTGCGCCAATACCCAGCTGTCTCCCTTTTGCTTCTACAAGAGGCAGCCCTGCCAATCTGCTGCGCTGCTGCTTCCAGACTAGATTTGGGTGCTGCTAGCAGCAGCGGCAGGAAAAAATGCAGCCTCAAGGAGAGCAGCAGCAAGCAGGCGTCGAGGCCAACGTGCTGCAGCGCATCTTCGGGGCTTGCTGCTCGGGTGGCTGCATGCAGAGTGCTGCGAGGCGTTGCTGCTGCCCTCAACGCTATTAAGGTGAGACCGAGCAGCAGCTGCTGCTGCTGCAATGGCAGCTGCAGCGAAGAGAAAGAGAGCGACGCCTGCTGCTGCTGCTGCTGCTGCTGTGGCGGATCAGCCTTAGGCACACATTTCCTATGCCGGCTTCTGCCGAGTCCCCTTGTCCGTTTGCTGCACTGCGAGGCTTCTCCGGCGCTGTCTGCTGCAGCAGCACCAGACGCAGCAACGGCAGCAGGGACACCTGTAAAACTAGAACCAGCCGCAGCAGCAGCAGCAACTCCGCGTGCGCAGCGCGGGCCTGTAGCGCTGGCGAATCTGTTCGCCTTCTGTGCTGCGGGAGGCAGTGTTGAGACGCCCCAGCTCATTTGGAACAGCACCCTTCAGCAGCAGATGCTGCAGCAGCTCTGCGAGCCCATCAGCAACTTGCTGCAGCGGGAAAGCAGCAGCAGCAGCAGCGAGGGGGCGCACGGAGAGCTCAGCTTTGCAGCAGCGCTGGGGATGTCTGGACAGCAGACGCACGGCGTTGCAGTAGCGGCTTCCACGGCCAGCGCTGCTGCAATGCCTGCAGCGGCAGCAGCAGCAGCTGCTGCTGCTGCTACGAAAGTGGCTGGCATGCAATGCTGTGCTCTAGTGCATGTGCAGCAGCCACAGTTGTCGCTGATGCTGGTGGCTGAGACACTCTTTGTGGCTGTCACGCTGCGCAAGGCTGAGGACCTGTGGGACCGTCTGCTGCAGCAACTGAAGCAGCACCAGCAGCAGCAGCAGCAGAAACAGCACGAGTGTGAGAAATCTCGCCGGACCTGGGGCTCTCTCTGCCCCTACCACAACATAGAAAAGCAGCAGATGCAGCAACTGCAGCAGCAGCACATACAGCAGCAGCAGCTCTTGAGTGAGGCCCAGCAGCAAGTGCTCCAGCAAGCCAGCGACGGCGTCGCAGATGACTTTCAAGAGGCAGCAGCAGAGTCAGAGACAGCAGCGGTTGCGCAAGCAGACACAGCAGCAGCAGCACAAACAGACACGGCAGCAGCAGCGGCAGCAACAGCAGCAGCAACAGCTTCAACTTATGAAGCTTCGCTGCACTTGTGGTGTCACTCGGCCCTGCAGCAGCAAGAGGAAGTGCTCCTTGAGCTGGCGCTGCTCCCGCTGCGACGTCAGCGGCCGCCCCAGTTGCCGCACAAATGTTGGCGCGTACCGCTGCAGCAGCAGCAGCAGAAGCAGGAGCAGGAGCAGCAGCAGGAGCAGCAGCAGCGCCCCGTGGTGCTGCTGCTGCAGCTGCTGCGTTGCTTCCGTGTGCAATTTGAGAAAATGACGCAGCAGCCAGGAGCAAACAGCAGCAGCAACAGCAGCAGCAGCAGCGGACACAGTAAAGCCATTTGCTGCTCAAGGCGGCTATGCAGCGATCTGGATTTGTTGCATGTGCTGCGCCTTCAGCAGCTGCTTTTGCTGCTGCTTCCGAACATCTTCGCGCGCTGCAGCTACAGCGGCAGCCCCTTACGGGAAGCAGCGGGAACGGCAGCAGCGCCAGAAGCAGGAGAGGGGGATTGCTGCTGCGGCGTCTGCTGCTTGCAGCAGCAACTGCTGCAGCAAATCAAGTCCGTCCTTCGTAGCCGTTGGCTGCTGCCGGCTGAGCTGCTGCTGCAATCAGTGCAGCTGCTGCAAGTGCTGCTGCTGCTAGGTCTAGCACAGGCAGCAGCAGCAGCCTCACGCCCACTACTGCTGCAGCGGATTCTCTGGTCAGGCGCCATAGAGCTGCTGCTGCTGCTGCTGCAGGAGCTTCAGTGCAGCAGTCAACAACAGCAGCAGTCCGCGCAGCAGCAGACGCAGCAGCAGCAGAGCGATAAGTATTGGCTGCTGGAGCAGCTGCGGCAGCACCTGCAGCGAGCAGCCGCTGCGAGCACTCCTAGGAGCAGCAAAAGGAGCACGAGCAGCATAGCTAGCTCGGGAACCAGCAGGCCCAGCAGCAGAAGCAGCAACTGCAGCAGAAGCAGCAACTGCAGCAAGAGCTGCAGCAGGAGGAGCGGCCTAGCGACAAAAAGCAGTGCAGCAACTGCCGACAGCAGCAGCTCCCCCGCAAATGTCTCTGCTGCAGACGAGGCCCACGGCCAGCAGCCGCAGGGACAAAAGCAGCAGCAGCAGGAGGAGCAGCGAGCCAGCTGCAGCAGCAAGCAGTTAAGCAATTTGCTGCATGATGATTCCTCCGAGCAGCTCACGGTGCTGTCGTTGTCGGCATTTGCTGCCTCATTTCCACGCAGCGCAGCAATGCATGGTCTACAGCAGCAGCAGCAGCAGCAGGAGACACATTTGCGTCGGGCAGCATTGGAAATAGGTGGGTCGCGAAGTCTGCTGCTGCTGCTACTGTTGCTGTTGGCCTTTTTTCTGCTTGAGGCTATCGGAGTCCATCTATGCTGCTGCGCGCTAAGTCTGCTGCTGCTGCTCATGCTCCCGCCTTCGCTGCTGCGTATGCGGTGGCGGTGCTGCTGCAGTCTTTTGCCTTGTTGCTAATGCTGCGCTTGCCCGACGTGCTGCTGTGGCTGCCACGCCGACGTGGGTGAGCAGCAGCAGCAGCAGCTGTGCTGCAGCAGCGGCAACAACGAAGGCAGCAGCAACTGGAGGCCAGCGGAGGCGCCTGCGGGCTTCAGCGACGCTGCGACGTCGCCCAGCAAAGGCAGCAGCAGCAGCAGCAGCAGCGGCAACAGGAGCAGTAACGGCCTCGCCAGCTATGGGAAAACCTGCACTACTGAACTGCAGCAACGGCGCCAGCTGCAGCAAAGGTGGCGGTGTTTGCGTCTTTTGTGCTGCTACACGTTGACTGAGGGCCTGCTGCTCCTGCTGGCAGAGGTGCACAGCAGCAGCAGCAGCAGCAGCAGCAGCAGCAGCAACGGCACTGTGTATTGCTGCGGCAGCTGCATCGAGCTGCTGCTGCGCTGCTTGCTGCTGCTCTGCTCTGAGAAGTCTTCGCAGCTGCGACTGCTGCGCCATGGGGTGCCTCTTCTGGTGTACGTACACCTGGGACCCTATTCCTTGCCTCTGCTTCGCTGCTCTACTTAGAGATGCCGTTGGTTTCTGCGCAGCAACTGCAGCAGCGGCTGCAGCAGCAGCTGCAGCAGAGACGGCAAAAAATAGCAGAATCGCGGAGCCGTTATGTATGTTATTGCTGCAGGCTGCAGTTGCTGCTGCTGCGCGGAGAGACAACTCCGCAAAAGCAGCAGCAGCAACTGCACCAGAAAGACGAGCAACAGCAAGGGTCGCGTCCCGCCAATGGGCCTCGCCTGGCAGCAACGGCAGCAGCAGCAGCAGAAACAGCAGAAGCAGCAAAATCAGCAGCAGCAGCAGCAGCGGTGGAGCCCCTAGAGGTTCGCTTGCTGCTGGCGGAGATCCTTGCTGCTTTTGTTGGCGTGGCACCCCGGTGCAGCAAGTTTGCTGCAGTGACCCTTGACTGTTGCTTCTCTGCTGCTTTGCCTGCTGCTACTACAGCAGCGGAGGGAGCAGCAGCAGGAACAGCAGCAGTTGTTGCTGCTGCTGCCGCTCCTGCTGCTCCTGCTACTGACGCTGAGGTATATGTTGAGAAGGCAGACAATAGCCGCCACTGGATTTGGCTGAGAGGAACCTCGCTTGAGTGGAATCGCCCAAACAAGCAGGCAAGGCCCTGCTGCTGCTGCTGTTGCTGCTGCTGCTGCACTTCTCTGCTGCAGTGACTGCTGCGTGCGCTTCAGCAGTGTATCGCTGCTGCTGTCGCGTGCTCCGCGTTCGCTGCCAATGCTCGTTCTGCTGCTGCTGCAGCAGCCATTCTCGCTGTTTCCGTGCGGCTGCTGCTGGTGTTTCTGCTGCCTATGCATCTGCTGCTGCCCCTCGTGCTGCACATCGGTTGCTGCAGCGGCTGCTGCTGGCGCAGCTGCTGCTGTGCCTTGACATCAATGCTGCCCTTAGCGCATCTGGGGTAGCAGCTCTTGCACTGCTGCTGCTGCAGGCAGTGAAGGCCCTTGCGCAGCTGCTGACGCCCGCGTTGCTGCTACAGCTGCTGCCGCAGCAAAGACACTGCTGCGCCTGCGGCCGCCTTCGGCTGCTGCAGTTGTCTCTTCTGGATGGCAGCAGCAGCAAGGACGCTGCGGCCGCTGGACCCGCAACAGCAGCAGCAGCAGCAGGCTGGACTCCTTCTGCTGCCTGCACAACTCAGCAGCTCTGCCGCTTTGTGCATTTGCTGCTGGGGTGTTCTGACACCGCAGAATGCGTCTGGGGTCCATCGGCTCGCGAAGCAGTGCATGCGGAGACAGTGCGCAGTTGCTGCAACCACCCTTTTGCTGTTGCTGCTGCTGCTGCTGCTGCTACTACTGCTGCCTTGCTGCTTCTGATGGAGTTTCGCTGGCGCTGTGTTTGTCAGGCCGCACGTTGCTGCTATCGTTGGTGCATTACCGTTGTTTCATGAAATGTTGTCCATTGCTTTCTGCTGCTGCTGCTGCTGCTGCTGTTTTGTGCTGCTTCAGGCGCGCCAGCTGCTTCTCAGCCTGGCTGCCATCGACATGAGCCGCCCTGCAGCAGCGCAGATACCCAGTAGCAGCAGCAGCAGCAGCAGCAGCATCGACTGCAGCAGGATTTTGCTGCCTGTGTGGCGCCTGGAGAGTTTTCTAGCTGCCGACGGTTTTCACTATCAGCACCCTTCTTTGCGCACCAGTAAGCCCGCAGCAAACCCAAGCCTTTAAACCCTAACTAAGTCTGGACGCTAAACCCTAAACCCTAGGCGCTAAGCCCTAAGCCCTCAGCTTCAAACCCTAAACCCTAAGTCCTACACTCTAAAGCCTAGGCTCTTAGCCTTAAATGCCGGGCTTTAAACCCTAAACCCTGAACCCTAAACCCTAGGCTCTAGCTTTTGAGTGCAGAGCTTTACACCCTAAACGCTTAACTCTAAACCCTAGGCTAAAAGCCCTAAGCCCCCCACCCTAAACTTCAAACCCTAAACCCTAAGTTTGAGGCCGTAAGCTCCTTTCGCAAATACCCTAAAGTAGCGACTCCGGTTCGCTTAAGTTGCTGAGGGCATTTAGTGACATGCTGAGTGAGCAGCAGCACCAGCAGCAACAGCAGAACACAGCACCAGCTAGAGCAAAGAGATGGAGTCAGAACTAAAAAGCCAGCTAAAAGCTGCCTCGCTAGCTAGCTAGCCAGCTAGCTAGCTAGCTAGCTAGCTTTCCAGCTAGCTAGCTAGGCGCCCCGCTGGTTAGACAGCCCTGAGCTTGTCTGCTGCTGAGGCGTTCTGCTGGAATCTGCTGCCTTCCTATCGCTTACTGTAGCTGCTGCTGCTGCTGCTGCAGATGAGTTCGTTGGCGGCCTGTACCTGAGGCCTTTGAGCGTGCAAATGTGCAGACAGCAGCAGTCGCCTGCTGCCTCGCTGCTTGCACGTCTCAAAGACGGATGCAGCAGCAGCAGCAGCAGCAGAGGCAGCAAAGCAGGGTTCTGGGGCAGCAGCAGCTTCGCGCTGCGGCAGGTTGCTGCTACGCCTGCTGTCTTCGCAACAACGCTGCAGGTGAGCTACTGCTGGATTTGACTCTCCCACAGAGCGCGGCAGCAGCAGCAGCAAAAGAAACTTTGAAAGTGCAGCTTCGGAATCCGCTGATGCTTGCGGTACTGCTGCTGCACTTGCAGGCTTTGGTTGACTCGGTGGCCGCAGCTGCTGCTGTGCCTTCTGCTTCTGCTGCGCCTTCTGCTGCTGCTACGCCTTCTGCTGCTGCTAACCAGCAGCAGCACGGAGAAGAGAGCTCAGCAGCAGCGTCAGTTGCAGCCACAAATGCAGCAGCAGCAACAGCAGCTGTTGCAGACAATCCCTTGTACCAGCGCAGCAGCGTCAGTTGCAGCCACAAATGCAGCAGCAGCAACAGCAGCTGTTGCAGACAATCCCTTGTACCAGCGCGTCGTTGGAGTTGTTGCCGTGCTGCAGCAGCGCCTCGCGCTGCTGGGATCCCACTGCAACAGATGGCAGCAGCAGCAGCAGCAGCAGAGGCAGCACGAGGCGGCGCAGCTGCAGATTTGGGGCGGCGGCAAACAACAGCATACGGTTTTGTTGATGCCACTGCTTCAGCTGCTGCTGCAGCAACTGCAGCAGCAACCGTCGCCTCTTTTGTGCGAGGTGGGCAGTGTACAGCAAGCTGCAGCAGCAGCAGCTGCAGCAGAATGCGCAGAAGGACGTAGCCGAGCAGGAGCCACCTCTCGATGCTGTTATGGGCCATTCTGTTGCCTGCATGCGCTTTCAGTGTCACCACTGCTGCTGCTGCTGCTGTCACTGCTGCTGCTGCAGGCTGTTGTTGCTGCACTGCGGGCTGGCGTGGAGCTGTGCAAGACGGTGCGTTGCTGCGGGCGCAGTAGCTGCCGCCTAGGGAGCTGATTTAGTGGACAAGAAATGCTGCCTGCAGCGTGTAGAGCCTGCTGCAGCAGCAGCAGCTGCTGCTGCTGCTACTGCTACTGCTGCTGCTGCTGCTGCTGCTGAAAGCTTACGGGCTTTAGCCTCGTCGTGCCCTTTTTCTGCAGAGCCCACTCGAGGGCCGGGCGCTGGGCGCCGCGGCGTTTCTGAAGGCGTTGGCCTTCGCTGCCAGCATCGCCGTGCGGTGCGTAGACACACAGTACAGCAGCAGCAGCAGCTGCTGCTGCTGCAACTGCTGCTGCAGTACCACCAGCAGCAGACAGGGCAGCGACAGGCTGAACTACAGCATAAAAAGAGGCAGCAGTAAATACAGCAACAGACGTAGCAGCAGGTGTAGCAAGATCAAAAGTACAAGCAGAAAGCAGCAGCAGCAGCAGCAGCCGAAAGCAGCAGCAGAGAGAACAGTGCCAACAGAGAGGAGCGGCATCAGCAATTGAAAAAGCAAACGCAGCAACAGCAAGGGACGCAGGAGCAGCAGAAGCAGCAGCAGCAAAACTCGCACCAGCAGAAGTTGCAACCCACGAAATAGCAGCAGCAGTAGTAGCAACACAAGTAGCAGCAGCATCATTAGAAACAACAGAAGTAGCAGCAGCGGCAGCAGCAAGAGCTTTGAGGTTTTGTGTGACTTGCTTTGGCTCAGGAGTATTATGGCGAATGGCCTGCTGCAGCAGACTGGCAGAGGGAATGCATGGCAGCAGCAGAAACAGGAAAGGTGTCCAGCAGAAGCAGCACGTGGCTGCAGCTGCGAGATGTTTTCGGCTTCCTCGCGCTGCTGCTTGCTGCTTCTGCTGCCACTGCTGTGGGACTTGCTGCAGCCTGAAGCAGCAGCCGCGGCAGCAGCAGCAGAGGGCGGCGCAACAGAAGCAACAACAGTTGCTTCCATGCTGGAGTACACGGTCAGCAGCACGGGCATTGGTATGGTGCTGCTGCTGCACCTCATCAGGCACGCAGGCCAGCAGCAGCAGCAATGGCAACAGCGCTGCCCTGCTGCTGCTGAAGCATATGCCATAAGCTTTTACTCGACGCAGCTCCTCGCAACATTGCTGCGAAGCACACAGCAGCAGCAGGAGCCGCAGAAGCAGATTGTGGCAGCGCAGCAGAGCCCGCTCCCTACAGAGGAAGCATCCACTTTGCTGCTACTCTTGTGGGTCGGCGGTGGCTTGTTCGCCGCAGCGTCAATTGCAGCAGCTGCAGCAGCAGGAACAGCAGCAGCAGCAATAGCAGGCTCTAAGCTGCAGGCAGCTCCTTCTGGGGGACGTGCATGCCTGCGACTGCTGCAGCAACTGTGGCTTCAGCAGCAGACACAAAACAGCTGCCCCAGCGCCTTCAACAGTGCGCAGCAACAGCAGCTGCAGCAGCTGCAGCGAGTGCTGCTGCTGCAGCTCCAGCTGCTGCAGGCCGCAGGCGCAGCAGCAGCTGCTGCTGCAGGACCTGCTGCTGAACTCTCGGCTGCCCGCGAGGCGTTGCAGCTCATGTGCGCAGAAGGAAAACAGCAGCAACTGGAGGGTCTCACAGCAGCGCTGCAGTGGCAGCAGCAGGTGCTGCTGCAGGATCTGCAGCAGTGGCGTCGTGCTACAAGGTAGGCAGAGTAGCAGCAGCAGCAGCAGCAGCGGCAGCATCGAGAGCAGCAGCGGCAGCTGAAAAGCTCATCCTAGAAAAATGCTTGTGTGCTGTCATGTTTTGCGCCCTGTGTACGGCTGCTGCTGCTGCTCCTGCAGGCAATCAGCGGCGCAGCAGCAGTTGCTGCACCACTGCCGCACAAGCTTGACGAGCCTAACGCGTTGCTGCAGCAGCGGCAGCAGCAGCAGTGGCAACTGGAGCTGCAGCAGCATGTATGCACCTGCTGAAGGACCGGAAGAGGCCTGCGGAGAGCAGCGGCAGCAGCGGTTTCTGCTGCGGCAGCAGACCCCCGCAGCAGGGACAGCAGCAGCGTGGCTGCTACTGCGAACGCGTGAAGTGCTGCTGGCAGACCAGCAGCTTCCTCTCCTGCTGCCAGCAAAGCCGCATCTGTTGCTGCTGCGTCTTTATATGCAGAAATCAGGTGGGAGAGGCTGCTGCTGCCGCTGCTGCGCAGCGCTGCACATAGAGCAGCAGGCCAGCCGAGGCCGTAACAGCAGCAGCAACAGCAGCAGCAGCAGCAGCCTGCAGCAGCAGCGTGCAGCAACTTTATCAATATATGTGTTTGTTGAGTTTGCAGGCCGGAGCGTGGAAAGAGACATAGAGGTGCTCTTGCAACTGCTGCACACCATACGCCAGCAAATGCAGCTGCAGCTGCAGCGACTGCAGCAGCAACAGCAGCAACATAGCGAAGAATCCCCAACCGTAGCCGATGCGGCTGCAATTTACTGCAGCGGCGCAGCTGCTGCAGCAGAAGCACTTGACCATCTGCGCTGTGGTGGCTTCCCTGTGAGCCCTCTGGCTGCTGCTGGAGCAGCTGCTGCAGAAGCAGCCGCAGAGGTGGGAAGGCTTCTCCCGGGCGCTTCCTCTTCCTCTGGAGCAATCAGCGCACCTGGCTTGATCAGCCCGCAGCAGCAGCAGCAGCTGCTGCAGCAGCAACTGCAGCAACAGGATGAAGTGCAGCTAGACTTAACGCGCTCGGCGTGGCGCCGCAGGAAACTTTCCGATTCGCTGGCTCTGAGCAGCAGCTGCAGCAAGAACATGAAGCGCACTGCAAGCAAAAGCAGCAACAGCGGCAGCAGCAGCAGCAGCAAGCGTCGGCTCAGCAGCAGGAGAGGCTCCGCCCACCTTAAATGTAGTGATGGCGAAGCAGAAGCAGAGGCTGCTGCTGCTGCTGCTGCTGCTGCACAGCACTGGAACGTACCTGGCACTGTTCAAGCTTTGCTGTACGCTTTCGCCCCACGCAGCAGCAGAAACTCTCCGGATTGCCAGAAGCAGCAGCAGCATCAGCTGCTGCTGCATCAGCAAAACAAGCAGTGGCGGCCTGTTGCTGTTTACAAGGAGGTGCTGCACTGCATGTGGCAGGGAATTGCGCTGCTGCTGCTGCAGCAAGATAGCCCGTGGGGCCTGCTGAAGTCGCGCAGCAGCAACAGCAGCAGCAGCAGCAGCAGCGGAATTTGCTGGTGCTGCGGAGAAACGCAGGAGCGCTGCTGCTGCCAAGACACTGGAGCAGCACATAACGTCCCTCCTTGTCTTCCTCTCTCCCCTGTTGGTGCTGCTGCTGCTGCTACTGCTGCTGCTGCTTCAGCGCCTGCTGCTGCTGCCTCTTGTGTTTCCGACGGAGCAGCAGAAATAACTGAAAGAGCAGCAGCAAGCGTATCAGGAAGGGGCAGTATAGAGACACTGCAAAGGGCCACTGCAGAAGCAGCCGAAGCAGCAGCAGCAGCAGCAGGAATGCTGTGGCAGCAGCTGCTTCTGCAGCTGCACTTCGCTTCGCTACTGAGAGAAGAGACTTTGAAGTTGCTGCTGCTGCTGCTAGACACAGCAGCGGCAGCAAGCATTCTCACGCTGTTGCAGCAGCCTCCAAAAGCTGCTATGACTCCGCGGCAGCACCAGCAGCAACAAGTCTTGCTGGTTGCCCCGCTGCTGCAGTTGCTGCAGGAAGAATCCACAAGGGTTTTAAGGCCACTTTGCCGAGCTGGAGCCTGCTGCAGCAGCAGCAGCAGCAGCACGAAGCTTCCAACTCTCTGGCTATCAGCTCTGCGCTCTGTGTTTGTGCTACTGTGTCTGCTGCACAGCAGCGGCACCTGCGGCCGCAGCAGCAGCAGCAAATACCTGTATGGGAGGATCGCTGCAGCAGCACTTGACTTGTGTCGGCTTGAAGGCGACGCTGCAGCGACAGAAGAGCGGCCGCAGAGCGCAGCAGCAGCAGCAGCTGCTGCTGCAGCAGTTGCTGCTGTTGCTGCTGCTGAAGCGGCTGAAGAAACGGAGGAGGAGACGCCTCAGGAAGGCAGTGCTGCTGCAACTGCTGCTGCTGTTGGTGCTGCTGCAAGAGGCGCTGGGGAGAAGCTGCAGCAGGCGGGGGTGCTGCTGCCTTTGGTGCTTCTGGCTGCTGGCGCAAGCAGCAGCAGCAGCAGCACAGACAGAAACAGCAGATGCAGCAGCAGCCTATGCAGCAGAGGCACAGCAGAGGTTTCAACGAGGAGCAGCAGCAGCAGCAAGGAACCATACTGCTCGCCGTGCTCGATGTCGGCCATTGCTGCAGCAGCAGCAAGGGCAGCAGATACAGGAGCAGCAGACGCTGCAGCAGCTGCAGCAGCAGTAGCAGAGGCAGCAGCCGAGGGGCATCTGTCAAGACTGCGGATGTGGGGTGTGCAGCTAAAGGCAGCAGCAGCAGCTCTGCGCCTTTGCAAACTTTTGCCATCAGCAGTGAGGCTGGTGTTGTTGTTGGTGTTGCTGCTGCTGCTGCTGCTGCGGTGCCACTGCTGCTTTCACGAGCCTTGTGTATGACTAGAACGCTGTTCTTGCTGCTGCCATTGCTGCTGCCGCTGTTCTAATCCTGATGGATTTTCTTTAGCTGTTTTCTATTTGCCATTTCTGCAGAAAGAGGAGTTGCTGGAGCTGTTGCGCAGTGGATGCCTTCTGCAGCAGCAGCAGCAGCAAAGAGGCTCCGAGGCTAGTGCTGCAGTTGTCTCGGCAGCAGCACTGCTTCTTCGAAGCAGCAGCAGCAGCAGCAGCAGCGGGGAGTCCCTGCTGCAGCCGGCGTCACTTTCTGAGGCGTCGCTGCTGGTTTGTCTTCTTTCACGTGCAGCCGCTGCTGCTGCTGCAGCTCCGGACGGAAGCAGCAGCAGCAGCAGCAGGGAGCAACAGTCCTCGGCTGCTGCAGTGCGGCAGCAGCTGGCTGCCGTTTCAGCTGTATTCATATCTCTCTTTAGTTAGGAAGCGGCTTCGGCAGCTGCTGCTGCTGTTTCGCCAGCAGCAGCAGCAATGCTTCCTGCTGACAGCAGCAGCACCAGCAGCAGTAGCACCGCTGCTCCAGCTGCGAGTGCCGCAGGTGCCGCAGTGAGCCTGAAGCGGCAGCATCAGCCGCTGCTGCTAGAAGTGCAGCAGCTGCTGCATCTGCGGCAGCTGCAGCGCACGCTGCTGCAGTTGTTCGTGCTGCTGCAGCTGCAGCACATGCTGCTGCAGCAACAGCCGATATGCTTGTTTTTTTTGTTGCTGCTGCAGCAGCGCTGTCGTTGCATTTGACTTTTTCGTCCCATTTCAGGTCTTTACTAGAAGCAGCGCCAGCAGCAGCAACAGCGAAGTCCTTCAGAGCAGCAGCCGCAGCAGCAAACTACTTCTCAACAGCAGCAGCAGCAGCAGCAATGAGGCATTCGTGTGTTGTACGTTTCCAGAAAAAATAATTTCTAGCGCCAGAAAGGCACCCCATGGACAGCAGCAACATTCCAACTGCCGCTGCTGCAGCCGCCGCAGCTGCTGCTGCCGCAGCTGCTGCTCCTGCAGTTGCTGCAGCAGCAGCTGCTGTTTGCTTTGCTCTTGCACCGAACAGCTGGAGCAGCAGCAAGGGCTCACAGGGGACAGTCTGCTGCTGCTTCTGCAGCAAATGCGTCCCGCAGGCGCCGGCGCTGCACTGAAAGGAAATTCCGCGGAAATTCTGTCAGGAGGCGGCTGCAGCAGCAGCAGCAGCAGCAGCAAAGAAGGGGAAAAGCAAGACAATAAGGAGGCAAACTAATTGCACCAAAGCGGCAGCAGCAGCAGCAGCACATGAAAAAGCGCCTCGCATGTGGCAGCCGCATTAGATATGCTGCCAACAGCCAATCCAAAGAAGAGGTATCATGCTTGGACTATAATTTAGCAATTTAAATTAGAATTAAAGATATAAATTTAAAGAAAGAAAGAAATGGAGCAAAGAAGGCCTGCTGAGTGGTGCCTGCAGTGTCTGCAACTTGGGGTGTACAGACACTCCAACAGCCCCACGCACTCAGATAACTCTTCTGCTGTTTTGTCTTTTTGCAAATGCCGCCAGCAGCAAACTGCATTGCTCAACGCTGTCTCATCCCACGGCGCCTGCAGCAGCAGCAGCAGCAGCAGCAGCAGCAGCGGGAGCGCGATGAAGGCGGCGCGGACACCAGGAGGCGCGTCGCTGGCAGCCGCAGCAGCACAACAGCAGCAGCAGCAGCAGCCCGGAGGAAGAAAAGGAGCAAAGTCACTAACGAGCACAGAGACAAAAGAGACGCATGCAGCAGCAGCAGAGAGCAGCAAAAGAGACGGAGAGGAAGCAAACAGCAGCAATAAACAGCAGCGGCGGCAAAAAGCAGAAACAGCAAACAGCAGCAGCAGCAGCAAACAGCAGCAGCAGCAAACGGCACCGACAACAGCGAGTAAATTCGTCAGCAGCTCAATTGCTGTTTGAAAGTCCCCTCGCTGCATCGCGCAGACGGCGCGCGCTGAACACAAGCCACAAGCCGTGATTAGCTAGCTAGCTAGCTGGCTAGCTAGCTGGCTAGCTAGCTTCATAGCTAGTTGCCTAGCTAGCTGCCCAGCTATTTTTCTACCTTGCTGTGTAGCTAGCTGTCTAGCTAGCTGGCTAGCTAGCTAGCTGCCTAGCTATTTGCCTACCTAGCTGTTTAGCTAACTGTCTAGCTAGCTGTCTAGCTAGCTGTCTAGCTAGCTGGCTAGCTAGCTGGCTAGCTAGCTTTTTCGCCGTGCCTAACTGGAGAGCTCTGAAGGCAGCCAGCTAGGTAGTCAGCTAGCTCGTCAGCTTGGCAGCTAGCCAGCAAGTTTGAATTGCCCAACAGGCTATTTAGCTAGCTAGCTAGCTAGCTAGCTAGCTAGCTAGCTAGCTAGCTAGCTCAAAAATTCGAAGGAAACAAGGCAAGAAAGAAGCCAGAAAACAAGAGACGGAATGAAATTGAAAAGCCAAAAGGATCTAAGCGGAGCAAATATTGATAAAATCAATGGCAGCAAGAAGAGAAATGAAATAAAAGCCTAACAACTAATGGAACGAAATTAGACTAAACTGAAATGAACTAAACTAATTTGAATTAATTCAACTGAATTTAATTTAATTTAATTTAATTTAGTTTGAGAAAAAAGAACAGAAGGCACAGCAGAGCGGAACCAGGGGGCGGCAGCCAAGCGCGAGAAAAGCAGCAAACAGCAAAAAGCAAGAATAAATAGCTGCAAATAATAAAAATAATTTAAAATAATAAATAATTTTATCAATTTAGAAATAAATAAATCCAATTTAAATGCAAACTCACCGTTTTCCATCACTGCCGAAATGCCCCCCCCTTTGCGCACGAGGGAAATCTCGGCGTCGGCCAGCGAGGCGCCAGCAGCAGCGCAGTCGCCGCTCCCTGAGCAGCAGCAGCAAATTAAAATAAAATAAAATAAAGATAAAAACAAAAATAAGTATTAAATTAATTTAAAATAATTAAAGTTTAAGATAATAAATCCCAAAAAGTGATCAGCCAACACTTCCTTGAAAGTGCAGGGAGGCTGCGCGCCTGTGGACCTCCTAGCCACCGCCGCATTCGCTAAACCCTAAACCCCAAACCCTAAACCCTAGCGCTCACAGAGCTGGCACAGAGCTCGTGAAATGGACTGCTCCGCCGTCTCGTAAGCTGTTGAGGCCTGCAGCAGCAGCAGCAGCAGCAGCAAACAAATCAGAACAGCCAACGGGTCTGCGTCTACCTCGGCCTTTGGCTCAGGGCCTAGGGCCTAGGGTTTACGGCGTAGGGTTTAGGGTTTAGGGTTTAGGGTTTAGGGCCTGCGCACAATCTCAGAGTCGAGTTCCGCCTTGGCGGAGTCGTCGCGGTGTATCCGCAGCAGCAGCTGCACCCGTAGAGCGCGCCTGCAGCAGTAACAGCAGCAGCAGCAGCAGCAGGTTGCAGCAGCAAGCAGCAGCAGCAGCAGCAGCAGTATGATGTAGCCGCAGCAACACCTACGAGTTTCTGTTCCATTTCAGGGCTGGGCACTGAGTGCAACACCAACGGCAGCAGCAACTGCTGCTGCAGCAGCAGCAACTGGCACTTACAGCTCGTCTGTAGAATAGTTGCTGCAGATGCGAAGAGCAGCAGCAGGGTCTCTTTCTGCTGCTGCTGCTGCTGCTAGAAATGCCGCGGGGGCGCAGGTGCTGCTCAGCTCCTCCAACTCGCTCTGCAGCTGCTGCTGCTGTGTCGGGCCGCACTGCAGCAGCAGCAGCAGCAGCAACAGCAGCATTGAAAGGGTCCGCACTAGTTTGCTCACAGGCAGCAGCAGCAGCAGCAACTCACATATCTGGTCAGCAGCAGGAACAGAGCCAAGGCCTTGATCGCCGGGTTGTTGTGCGTCAGCAGCCGATGCAGCTGCTGCGGGTGCTGCTGCTGCAGCAGACGGGGCTCTTGCTTCTGCAGCAGAAGTAGCTGCTCGCTTGCGACTTGAATGAACTCTCGCTGCTGCTCCGTAGCAGGGTCTGCTGCTCTTGCTGCAGCAGCAGCAGCAGCAGCGGCGGAGCCTGCTGCCTCATAGTACCCAGCTGCGAAAAGCTGCAGCGGCTGAAGCAGCAGCAGCACAAACGCGCAGAGAGCATCCCATGCTTCTGTTACTGTTGTTGTTGCTGCTGCGGCAGCTGTTGCTGCTGCTTTCGCTGCTGCTGCTGCCGCTCCTAAAACGGCTACAGCCGCTGCTCCCTGTGCCCCAGCTGCCGCATTAATCCATACGAACACAGTACCCTCATAAGCTGAAGAGCCTGCTGCTGCTTCGCTGCTTCCTTCCTCAGTTAGCTGCAGTGGCAGCTGCAGCAGCAGCTGCAGCAGCAGCTGCAGCAGCACCGGATGAGCTGTGCTGCTCATCCGGTTGGCTGCATCAGAGCAGCAGCAGACGTACCTCTGATAGAATGTTGTTCATCGCTCCTGCTTTTCTGCAGATTTTCCTTTGGAGCTGCTGCTGCTGCTGCTTCTGCTGCTGCTGCTCCTGCTATGGAGGCGCAGCCGACAGCAACAGACCGCCTAAGGCGACTTGGAGTGTACGGGAGTTCGTTTGTCCTCCCTTTCTGCGTCTCCTTTAAAATAATTTCATCTTATTTAATTTGCTGTTGCGGTTGCTGCTGCTGCTGCTGCCAGATCTGATAGCGCCCCGCTGCCGAGTCGCCATGCATGCAACAACAGCAGCAAGGGCAGCAGCAGCAAGGGCAGCAGCAGCACGACCAGCAGGCCCTCCCAGAAGTTACCTCAGGATCTAATCTATTGAATTTCGTTCATTTATTAAGGGCTCTAAGTTCACTTTTTATGCTAACAAGACACAGCAGCAGCAGCAGCAACAGCAGCAGGAAAGGCCCTGGGGGGTCGAGACCAGCTCTCGCTGAGGACTTTCATAGCCTTCCTCCTTCTTCAACCTTTGCTGCTCACCTTTTGTTGCTATTGCTGCTGCAGTGTTGTCTGTTTGCTGCTGTCTGTTGCCTATCTATTGCAGCGGCGGCAGAACATCAGCAGCTGCGCTGCATCAGCAGCAGCAGCAAGGCAGCAAGGGGTTTCACGCATTGCCTGCCAGTTCAGCAGCTCTTTAAACCCCAACGGAAGCGGGACTCTAGGCCCTAAACCCTAAATCCTAAACCCTAAGCTGCTTAAATCCTGAACTCGCAGCTGTGGATTGTCAGCTGCAGCAGCAAGCATGCGCCTAGCCAGAGCCTTGCACATTGCCGCTGCTGCAGCAGCAGCAGCAGCAGCAATGGCGGTAGCAGCATCGAACGATCCTGCTGCATCTTCTCCCTTCAACGCAAGATCAGCTGGCGATATACCTGAGCAGCAGCAGCAGCAAGACACAGCAACAGCAGATGCAGCGAAAGTGGCAGCAGCAGCAGCAACAGAAGCAACCTCAGCAGCAGAGGCAGCAGCAGAAGCAGCAGGTTTCCACGCAGAGCATCTGTGCAGCCCAGTGAGACACTCAGCAGACGAGAACAGCAGCAGCAATACGGGCAGTAGCAGCAGGAGCAGCAGCAGCAACGGGCCTAGCAGCTCTTCCGCAGCAGAAGATGCAGCAGCAGCAGCAGCAGCAATAGCAGCAGAAATAGAAGGAGCAACAGCTGAGCTGCAGCGGCGCATCAGCAGCTGCGGGGACTTCCACCTGGATCCCCAGGGCTGCAGCGCCCTGGGGCGCTGCCGCCACTACCCGCTGCAGCAGCAGCAGCAGCAGCAGCAGCAGCAGCAGCAAGGACTGTGCCTGCTTGAAGAGGAGTATCTGCAGCAGCTAGCTGACACCCAATGCGCGTTGGAGCCAAAGTCGACCTTGTTTGCCGTAGCAAGAGACTTGCAGGCGTATGTTCTTGCTGCTGCTGCTGCTGCTGCTGCTGCTGCTCAGGGTTCTGCTGCTGCTGCTGCTGCTACTGCTCAGGCTAGCTCTGTTGTTGCTTTTGCTGCTGTGTATTATTTAGTGCTGCTGCTCCAATGGCTGCTGCTACTGCTGCGAAGTGGTGGTGTTGTTATTGCTGTTGTTGCTGCTGCTGCGTCTTTTGCTGCTGCTGCTGCTTCGAACTGCGAGTGCCGTCATTTTTGTTGTTGCTGCTGTTGCTGCTGCTCATGTTTCCGCTGCTGCTGCTGCTGCAGGCTGGGGGCCTTGGGAGTAGACATATCGGTGCTTCACCACGCCCGCAGCAGCAGCAGCAGCAGCAGGCAGCAGCTGTGTCGGCTGGTGATCCATGCTGCTGCTGCTTCTGCTGCAACAGCTGCCGCTGTGGTTTCTTTGCTGGAAGCAGCAGCAAAGCAGAAGCAGCAAAAAGAAGGCTCCATGCTGCAGCAACACCACCATCACGTCCCCTGGCGGCAGCAGCAAGAGCAGCAGCAGCAGCTGCTGCTGCTGCAGCACCAGCCCTGGAAATCCCTCCGCCGCTGGGAAAAGCTCCGCCGTATACTTTCTTCCTGACTTGTTAGCGCCACTGCCAGCTAGCTAGCTGCCTACACGCGTAGCCATTCAGCTAGCTAGCTAGCTAGCTAAATGGCTACGCGTAGCTAGCTAGCTAGCTAGCTTGCTAGCCAATAACTGGCTAGCCAGCCATCTGGCAAGCTGACTGGCTGGCTAGCTCTACACCTACCTACTTTGTGCCTGCGGTTGCCAGCTTAATTAGGCAGCGGCTAGCTAGCTAGCTAGCTAGCTAGCTGACTGGCTAGCTATCAGGCTAGCCGACTGGCTCGCTAGCTGGCTAGCTAGCTGGCTAGCATATAATTCGCAGCACGCGTCTCCGGGGGAGCCTCACTAGCCAGCGAGCTAGCTTGCTGGCTAGCTAGCTGTCTATCTGGCTGGCTAGCTAGCTAGCCAGCTGGCTAGCTAGCTAGCTTTTGCTAGAAACTAATTCAGACGTTTAAAGAGGATTGTTTGATTTATTTTTCAGAAAACTTCTTTTAAAAGGCTTCTTATTTTTCACTCTTTCGCTTCCCTTCTTGCCTCTCAGTTGCTTCTTGCTTTTAATTCAACAGATTGAAACTTGAAAAGTAAATGTGAATGGCAAGAGGGGATAAGTAAATATTTTGAAAGAAGCAAACATCAAAAAAGGATAAATAAATATCTAAACAGAAATAAAAGTGAAAAAAAGGAAAAACAAACATTCAAAAACAGAAATGCCAAAAGGGGAGAAATAAATACTCGAAAAGGACAAATAAATGCCAAAAAGGGAGGAAAAGATTGAAATGGGAGAAACGAATATGGAGAAGAAAACAATCAAAACCAAAAGATTATTGAATGGGAAGGAATCAACAATAAAAGGGAGAAAGAACAATTAAATATTATAAAAACGAAAATCAAAAAGAGAGAATTGGAGTAAAACCGAGGGGAAGAAATAAATACCAGAAAGGGAGGAAAAGATAATAATAGAAACAAGAGAGAAATAATCAAAAAACCAAAAAAGAAATATTGAAAAAAACGTTCAAAAGCCAAGATCAGAAAATAAAACTCCGAAAGTGTTTTCCTCTTTTTTATTTTTTTCCTTCCTCCTGACCCCGAAAGTTTCCTCTTTGCACTTTTGCTTCTTCGCGTTTTTTCCTCTGTATTATCTTTTTTGCTTTTATTGTCTGCTCCCATTTTTGCTTTCTCCTATTCATCTTTATTGTCTTTTTTATCTTTATTGCTTTCATTTTGATTCGCAGTTATCTCTTTTTCATCTTCATTGCCTCTCCGTTGACTCTATCCTCTTTATTTCACCTTTTCCATTTCTTTTGATTCTCTCCTCCATCTCTTTTTTACTTTCTCATTTTCATCTTTATTTTCTTCTTTTCATCGTTAGCATCTCTTTCGTCTTTGTTCTCCGTTTTTTCACCTTTATAATGTCTCTGTCATTTATTTTATATCCTTTTCGTCTCTATCATTTCTGTTTAATCTTCATTATTTCTCTTCTCAATCTTTATTTCCTCTCTCGACTCTTCAATCCCGCTCCGCGGACTTTTTACTTGCCAATCCTTTTCACTTCTTATTTCTCTCTCCTGATTCTTTTCTTCTCTTTTCACTTTTTACTTCTTTTTATTTACTTCCTTTTCCCGCGTTTTTCACTTTTTTCCTTTTCTCTAGCGAAACATTAAAAGACTCTGTCCAGTTCACTTCATCGGGCGACTGGCCCGGCTAGCCGCCTGCTAGCTAGCTAGCTACGTAGCTGTCTGGCTAGCTAGCTGCCTCGCTAGCCTGCTTTCGACTCAGCTAGCCAGGCACCCAGACGACGAGCTAGCTGGCAAGCTAGCTGCCTAGCTTGCTGGCTAGCTAGACGGTTAGCTAGCTAGCTGGTAAGCTTCCGAGCTGGCTAGCTAGCCAGTCGGCTAGCTAGATTGCTAGCTAGCTAGCTGGCAAGCTGCCTAAGCTGCCTAGCTGGCTAGCTAGCTAGCTGGCTACCTAGCTAGCCAGCTAGCACCTGATCAGTGCCGCCGCAGCTGCGGGCTTCAGGCGGTGTGTTGACACTTCCAGCTCCCCCAGAAAATCCTCCGTCCTTTGCCAACCGGCTAACTAGCTAGCTAGCTAGCTAGCTAGCTAGCTCGCCGCTCCAACCCCTCTCTCAGTCATCAAGCGCCTCCAGCTCCTCCTGAACAGCCACAGCTCGCGCACATGAATGGCTAGCTTGCCAAGTAATAGCCACTGAACTGATGAAGCAGCTAACTAGCCAAACTGCTAGCCAGCTGCCTACCCAGCAAGCTAGCCAGCTAGCTATCCAGCTATATAGCTAACTTGTGAGCTAGACAGCTAACGAGGCAGCCAGCTGTCTACCTGCCTAACCAGCTAGCCAGCTGCTTAGTTATCAAGCCAGCTGTCTATCTGCCAAGCTAGCTCGCTAGCTAGGTAGCTGGCTAGCTAGTTTGGTACATATCTAGTTAGCTAGCTAGCTAGCTAGCTGGATACCTAGCTGGATAGCTAGCTGGCTAGCTAGCCATGTTTCTAGCTGTGTCATGTGTCTCACGGGAACGAGATCGTCCATGAAGAGCTCTGCCTTGATTGGCTGCGGCGCCTTCTTGTCGTTGCTGCTGCCACTGCTGCTGCTGCTGCCCTTATCATTCCCTGCTGCTGCTGCTGCTGCTGCATCTTCTCTCTTGTCAGTCTCGCCCTCATTGTCAGAGGCCTCGCGCAGCGCCGCCCGCGCTGCAGCATTTGCTTCGTCGAGTGCTTGTTGGTTTCTTTCTCTCTAAAGAATAAATAAATAAATAAATAAATAATAAATGGATAATATAAATAAACAGATATATAATAATGATAAATGAATAAATGGATAAACAAGTAGATCAATGGATAGGTAAATCCAGTGGGCAACTTGGACGGCAAAGAAACAAATTTATTTGGAAGTAGTGAAAACGAAAGAAGATTTATTTAAATTTGAAAATGTTTCAAACAAAAGACCAAAAGAGCTGCTTCAGCTTCAGCTTCTGGCAGCAGTTGTAAAGAGAAATTAAAATTTCAAGTTCCATTTCTCTTCTTGTACAAAGAAGTATAATTGAGGCTTCTAGGGTTTAGGGTTGGGATATGCACAATGCCCTTTACATAAGATTTAGGGTTTAGGGTTTACGGGGAAATGCAAGGAGCCCCTTCCCTATAACTTTAGGGTTTAGGGTTTGGATATACAACGAGCCTTTTCCCTACAACTTTAGGGTTTAGGGTTTAGGGTTTGGATCTGGAAAGAGTCCACTTTTAATAGCATTTAATTGAACTGATAATTCAAGTCCAGCAAGTGCAAATGCGCACTAGTAAATGGGATACAAATATATCAAATGAAACATATTTATCGAAGATAAATTAATCAAATAAAATATAGTTATGTAAAATGATCAAATAAAGTAAGATTGATACATATAAACACAAAGATAAAATGGCAGTTCAGATTCGCCTAAGACAGAAGCGCGGGTACGAGCCAAGGACTCCCCAACGAACTGAAGCAACAGAGCTCAGGTCTTTTAAACGAACAAAAAAATATCGCCTTTATTTTAATTAATTAACTAATTAATTAATTAAATAGAAATGCCAACAAACCTCCGCCGCCCAGTCTTCATCTTCCTCATAATCCTTTTCGTCTGCTGCGCCTTCAGCATCAACGAAGAGCGCCGGGTTAAATGAAAAGAGGTCTTTTCCTGATAGCTGCTGCCCCTTGCCGCCGCTGCTGCTGCTGCTGCTGCTGCTGCTGCTGCGCTTGCCCTCCTTTTGCTGCTGCTCCCGCAGCGCCGCCAGCCGCCGCTCCTCCTTCGCCTTTTTCCAGGCAGCAAAAGTGGCAGGAGTTACTGGGGTGCCTCCTGGGGGCAGTGCCTGGCGCTGCAGGATCAAAAGCAGAAATTTTGAAGAAATAAATTGCATTAAAATCCATTAAATACCATTAATTGTTTACTTTTAACATTTCCAACTATTCTAATTGGCATCTGGCGTTTAAATGGCTCTTGAAAGCCGCACGAAGCAGACAAAAGCACCTTAAAACAACCCTGCTGCCGCTGTTGCTGCTGCTACTGCTGCTGCTGTTGCTGCTGCTATTGCTGCTGCTAGAGCCGCATTGTAAATGCAATTCTTGATGAAAATATTTATTTTTATACTTTAAATCATTATTAGTAAATGCATAATTGGATTATATTGGGAAACAGAGGAGCAGCACATTCAAACAGACAAGTGTAGCTCCTCATTTATTGCATTTCGTTCAAGTTCGAATTAAAATAGTTAAAAACTGAAAGACAATGAAATTGCTTACTTGAGAATATTTATAAATAAATAAATAAATAAATAAATATAAATGCATTTACTTGCTGTTTAAAGCCCCACCTCTCTCTCGACCTTTTCCTCTATTTCCTCTATTGGCTCTTCTTCTTCAGGACCTGAAGAGTCTTCTTCTCCCTTCAGCACGTAACCTGAACCCAAACCCTAAACCCTAAACCCTAAACCCTAAGCGCTAAACCCTAAACCCTGAGCCGTCTTCTGCCCCGTCCACCAAGCACGCTAAGCCAAACTCTAAACCCTAAACCCTAAACCCTAGACGCAAATCCCTCATCCCCTCCCCTCATGGCGGGCCCCGGCCCGCGGGCACTCCCCAGAGCCTGTCAGCAAGCCAACCCCTAAACCCTAAACCCTAAACCCTAAACCCTCGCCCACCCTGCGGCAGGCAGTGCCTGTACTTGCAAGAATCGCCTCCATTTGGACAAACCCAAAACCACCCATATTGTTTTTTCTCAACAGCTTCTAAAAAGAATTTGCAAACAATCGAAGTGTCGCCCTCCGCCTCTTCCCCGTTGGACCCCGGCCACCGGCTGCAGCCAGCTGCGCGCAAACCCTAAACCCTAAACCCTAAACCCTAAACCCTAAACCCTTGATTTCCCTGCTCTGCACCCTCTGGCCCCCCACAGGTAAAACCCAAAAGGAAAACCGCAGCAAACTGTACGCAGAAATGCACGGCAAAGAGAAGAGCTGAACTCCCTAGAGGTTAGGGTTTAGGGTTTAGGGTTTAGGGTTTAGGGTTTAGGCTTGCTTTGTTCTCTCTGGTCTATGTACAAGTCTATCTTCTGCTCCTGCTTTGACTCCTTCGGGTCATAAGTGCCCACGTTGGACTCGCTCGCCGCCTTCTTCACGTTTTCAGTGCCTGCGCAAACCCTAAACCCTAAACCCTAAGCCCTAAACCCTAAACCCTAAACCCTAAACCCTCGACCCGAAACGTTTGACCCAAAACCCTAGAAAAGAGCAGATCCCAGCAAGCAACCGCCTAGCGTCGAAGAGACCCAGCGAGCGCCTGAAGGCTGCGTTCTTCCCTCTAAACCCTAAACCCTAGACCCTAAACCCTAAACCCTAAACCCTAAACCCTAAATTTGGCGCCCTGCTCGCTGTAGGCCTCTTCAGGCCGCGAAAAGCGCAAACCCTAAACCCTCGTGCTGCGGCGCGTGCAGCTAAACCCTAAACCCTCACCCTTGAAAAGCGCCTGCAGCAGCATTTGCTGCTGCAGCATGGCCTTTTTCGCCTGCTGCTCTTCTTTTTTCTTCGCAATCTCGTGGGCCTCTCCGCCCTTTTGGGGGCCTTTGGCGGATTGCTGCACCGACTTTATGAACCTGCAGCAAAAGCCAGCCACAGCCAGTCCCCACGCATTCCCCAGCAGCAGCAGCAGCAGCAAGTGCAGCAGCAGCAAGTGCAGCAGCAGCAGCAAGGGCGGCAGCAGCGGCAAGTGCGACCGCAGCAGCAAGTGCAGCAGCAGCGGGAGAAGGATCAGCAGCAAGAGGAACTGCATGAGAACGGGGAGGAGGAGTGGACGGAGGGGCAGCAGCAGCAGCAGCACAGGCAGCAGCAGCAACAGCAGAAGCAGCAGAACCAGCGTGGCACTCAGCAGCAGCAGCCAACACACAGCCGCGCCCGGGATGGGTTTGTGCTGCTGGTGCTGCAGCAGCAGCAGCAGCAGCTGTTGCTGCTGCTGCTGGTGCTGCCTGCGCTGCAGCTGCTTCCGCCGACAAAAGCTGGCAGCAAAGCACCGCTCGTCGCTCCCGAAACCGTAAACCCTAAACCCTAAACCCTAAACCCTAGAGCCTACTTTTGTACAGCTTTGGACTTGTTCTTGTTTTTCAAGCCGAATGTTTTGTCTTCTATTATTTTTTGCTTTTCCCTCTCGAGGGCTTTCTGCTGCCCCTTCTCGCTCTTGGCGTCTTTCTTCTTGGCGGGCGGCATTTTGGTGGCTGAGGGTTTAGGGTTTAGGGTTTGGGGTTTGGAGGACCGCTGCCAGGGGTTTGGGGTTTAGGGTTTCAAGGTTGGAGCTGGCACGCGGGGCAGTCCACAGAGAAGAACCAAGGGCGCGGACTCGCCTAAACCCGCGAAAAGGGTTTAGGGTTTAGGGTTTAGGGTGTAGGGTTTGGCGTAGGAGTTCAGGGGTGAAAGAAGGCACTGCGAAAACCCTCAGCCGCGGGAGCGCAAACCCTAAACCCTACACCCTAGGCCTGGAAAAATGAAGCGCGATGCCAGGGAAAGCGAAGCCTTGTTCCTACGGTTTAGGGTTTAGGGTTTAGGGTTTAAGAATTTGGATCTAGGGCTTGGAGTGTTGGGTTTGCTCCTTCTTTTGCCCCCCTTAGCATAAAGCCGAAGCGACAGCACCGCTGTTACACTTCAGGGAAAGATCTCAAATTAGGGTTTAGGGTAGAGGGTTTAGGGTTTAGGGTTTAGCGTTTAAGGTTCGCAGCCAACCACCATATCGGTGGGGCTGCCCCGCCAGGTCTCAGCCCCAAAACCCTAAACCCTAAATCCTAGACCCTAAACCCTAAACCCTTCTTAACCTTCGTAGACACATTTCTTCCAGAGGTCATATCTATTTTTAAGGCTGCGCTCGACCTGCAGCAACAGCAGCAGCAGCAGCAGCAGCAGCAGCAGCCGCTGCAGCGCGGTTGTCTGCCCAGCGGGTTAAGGACAAGAGGGTTTAGGGTTTCTGAAACCCTTCCCGTTTTTGTCGCTGCTGCATTTTAGCTGCAATGAGTCATCTGTGCCCTAGCCAATGACCAACGGCTATCTGCTGCTGCAGCGTGCTGCTGCTACTGTGGCTCCCCTGTGCTGCTGCTGCACAGCGGCGACCAGAGCAGCAGCAGCAGCAACAGCAGCAGCAGCAGCGAAGGAATCAGCAGCAAATTTACACGTCACTCCAGGGTGTGTAGGCAGAAGATGTAAGGATCTGCAGCAGTGGCGCCGCGCAGCGACTCCAGTTGCTGCTGCTGGTGCTGCTGCTGCTGCTGCCGCAGCAGCACGTGTTCCCAGTGTTACTGCTGTTGCTACTAGCTTGGCGGGTTTAAGGCAGCTGGCGACTGCAGCAGCAGCAGCAGCAAAAGCAGGAGGTACTCCTTCGGACGGTCGGCAGCAGCAGCAGCTGCAAGAGCAGCCAACACAAGCAGCTGAAGGTGCAGCAATTGAAGCAGCAGCAGCAGCAGCAGAAACTAGAGCAGCAGAACGAGCAGCAGGAAAAGGAGCATCGGGGCTGCAGCAGCAAAATGCGGCAGCAGCTATAGCGGCGCCAAAGAAGCTAAAGAAGAAAAAGCAGTTTGCTGCTGCTGCAGCACCTGCTGCAGAAACAGTAGCGGCTGCTGGTGCTGCAGTTAGAGAGGAAGAAGCAGCAGCAGCAGAAGATTCGTCTGCTTCCCAAGAGCGAGCAGCAGCAGCAGCAGCAGCAGCAGCAGCAGCAGCACTAGAGACTGCAGCGGCAAGTGCGGCGGCTCCTGCAGAGGCAGGAGCCTCAAGGGCAGCAGCAGGAGGCGCAGCAGACGCAGCAGCAGACGCAGCAGCAGACGCAGCAGCAGACGCAGCAGCAGACGCAGCAGTAGCTGCAGGAGCAGCAGCAGCAGCAGCTGCAGGAGCAGCAGCAGCAGCAGGTGCAGCAGCAGCAGCAGGTGGCGCCCGTTTGTCTGTGTACGAGCGCTTCCCGTCGATGGCAGCAGCAGCAGCAGAAGCACCTTTAAAAGTCTGTCTTTCTCGTTTTGCTGCTGCAGCAAAGCAGCAAAACAAAAAGACAAAAGCAGAAGCTTGGTCTTCTTACGAGGGCTGGCCTCCGCGCTCCAGAATCCGCATTGGCGACGAACACTCCAGGGTGAGGGTTTAGGGTTTAGGGTTTAGGGTTTAGGGTTTAGGGTTTAGGGTTCAGGGTTTGCAGAAGCTGGCTGCAAGCCCGTCTGCCGGCTGGGCTTGGGACGCCGAATGTCCAGGGTTTAGGGTTTAGGGTTTAGGGTTTATTTTCCAGGGTTCAGGGCTCAGGGTTTAGGGTTTAGGGTTTAGGGTTTGTGGCTGCGTGCAGTTTGGCCCCCTGGGGCGGGAGTTGTTTGTGTTTAGCAGAACCACAGGGGGGGGTTTAAAGCGAGAAGCAGCTTTAGGGTTTTGCTGCAGCAAAAGGCTCGTGCTGCTGCTGAACCAGGAGGAGTTTGAGGCCCTCGTGCTGCTGCTGCCTTGGATTAAACACCACCTCGCAGAGACCAAGAAGCTCATCTAAACGCTGCTGCTGCTGCTGCTGCTGCTGCTGCTGCTGCGGCTGCTGCTGCTGCTGCGGCTGCTGCTGCGGCTGCTGCTGGTGGTGCTTTGCTGGCGGTAGAGCGGCTGCTGCCGGCTGCTGCAGCAGCTGCTGCCACATCGTGCGGCTGCAGTTATAGCGGCCCCACGGGCTCCTGCAGCAGCAGCAGCTGCTGCTGCTGCTGCTGCCGCAGCTGCTGCTGCAGCTGCTGCCGCAGCAGCTCATAGGGCGGTAGCTTTTGTTCTCCGTGTTGCACCAAATACTCCGTTTTAGTCCCTGGTGGCGTCGTTGCTGCTGCCGCGGCAAGCGAGACTTGCTGCAGCAGCAGGACTTGCAGCAGCGGAGCTCGCCGTTGCTGCTGCTGTTACAGCAGCAGAGCTTACTGCGGAACTTGCTAATACGGCAACAGAAGAAGTTGTTGCTGCTGCAGCAGAAGAACTTGCTGCTGCTGCAGCAGAACAAATTGCTGCTGCTGCAGCAGAAGCTGCTGCTGCAGCAGCAGAGGCAATTTTTGTACCAATCAATGGCCAAGGGTAGAGTGGTTTGCTGCAGCCTCGTGGCGTCTGGTGCGGCAGTTAGTCTGGTTTTGTTCTCTAGGAGCAGCAGCAACAGTAGCAGCAGCAGCCGCAGCAACAGCAGCAGCAACAGCAGCGACAGCTGCTGGCGGCTAGCTACTTCAGGGTTTAGGGTTTAGATCGCTACGACCGGAGCTCGAGGCGCTAGGGTTTCGGGTTCACACGTTGCGTGTCGCTGCCGAGAGCTATGAGGGTTTAGGGTTTAGGGTTTATGGCTTAGAGTTTGGTGTTTAGCGCTTAGGCTTCGGGCTGTAGGGTTTAGGGTTTAGGGTTCGCGGCTCGCGGGTAGGCAGCAGCAGGCTACCCCGCTACAGCACACAAATAACCAATGAGCTCCTCTCAACTCGAAATAAAACTTTAGTAGTAATTTCAAACACTAAACCCTAAACCCTAAACCCGAAACGCTGATTCTGCAGCCCAGCCCCAGTAGCGCATGCTGTACACGCCACGTTCGAGCGATGCGATTTAGGGTTTAGGGTTTAGGGTTTAGGGTTTAGGAGTTACGGTCCGAGTGAGGTGTTCATCTTTTTGTCTTCGGTTAAATCATGTTCTTTTAATTTTGGGCTTTAGAACTTACTGTTTAGGGTTTAGGGTTTAGCGTTTGTGAGCGCTCTCCCGTAGACGAGACAGAGCCCAGGGTTTAGGGTTAAGGGTTTAGGGTTTACAGCTGGCGGTCGCTGCCTTGTGCCTTAAAAGGCTGTTCTCAGTTTCTCCTCGCACCGATGGAGTACTTGAAAAGCAACAGCATCGTCAGCAGCAGCAGCAGCAGCAACAGCAGCAACAGCAGCAGCAGCTACGGCAACAGCACAGATCTCGACTGTCTCATAGCATCAACACTGCACGACCTAGAGACGTTTTCCTTCCCCCCTTGCCAGCAGCAGCAGCAGCATCAAAGACATGATGATTCTCCACATCTGCTGCAGCAGGATCCGCTGCTGCAGCAGGTGATGCTGGTGCAGCAGCAACAACTGCTCCAGCAGCAAGAAGGCGCACTGCAGCGGCACGAGAAGCCGCAGCAGCCAGGGCCAGCTGTTAAGGCAGCAAAAGATTCAGCAGGTGTTTCAGCAGCAGCAGCAGTAGCAGCAACAGCAGCTGCTACTACAGCGCCGTCAGCAGATGGAAGGCTGGAGCCGCGAGCAGCTGCAGCAATGGATGCAGCAACAACTCCCGAAAAGGGTGCAGCAGCGGCTGCAGCAGCAGCAGCAGCAGCAGAGAAGCAGTGTGACTCTCTCAGCTTCTGTGTAAAGGAGCTGGAGCAGGAGCTGCTGCGGCAGTCTCCCCCTGTGCCGTCGGCTGCTGCTGCTGCTGCGAGCACCACCCCAGCAGCAGCAGCAGCAGCAGCAACAGCAGCAAAGCCACAGGATGGCACAGGCGGGCCCGTGGATCTGCTGCAGACCCTTGCCGCTGTGCTGCGGGCAATCGAGAAGGGGCCTCCCCTTGCAGCAGACGCTCCTGCTGCTGCTGCTGCTGCTGATGATAGCGCTTCAGGTGCTGCTGCAAAGGCAGCAGAAGCAGCAGCAGCAGCAGCAACAACAACAGCAGCAACATGCCCCAATGCTTTTGCTGCAGCTCTGGAAGCGCTGAAAGGTGATGATCTTTCCATAAGCACAATAGCTGACCCAGTAAAGGAGCTGCTGCAGGTGTACGAGCCTTGGCTGCAGCAGCAGCAGCAGATGCAGCGGAAGCAGCAAGAGCAGCAGCAGCAGCAGGAGCAGCAGCAGGAGCAGCAGCAGGAGAAGCAGCGTGCTGCAGGCCTATCGCCCGAGGAGCTGAAGACCTATGAGAAGCAAGTGACTGTCTACAGGCGCATTGTCTTCTTGTGCGACCAGCAGCAGCAGCAGCAGCAGCAGCAGCAGCAGAGCGAGTCGTCTGCAGCAGCAACAGCAGCCTCATGGGGACAACTCCTGGAGATTCAGCAGCTGCTGGAGGAGGCTTGCAACCTAGGGGACATCCCGCCAGAAGTGCAGCAGCAGCTCAGTGCAGCAGAAGCCAGAGCAGCAGTTGCTGCTGCTACTCCTGCTGCTGCTGCTGCTGCACCTGCTGCTGCCTCGGCGGGCGCACTCACACAGGAGCGGCCGAAGCCGCTGCAGCAGCCGCAGCAGCAGCAGCAAGCTGCGACGGCGAGCTCGACGCCAGTAGGCGGCGTGAACACGAGCAGCAGCAGCAGCAAAGAAAGCAGCAGCAGCAGCAAGGAGGGCAGCAGCAGCAGCGCGCTGGGAGAAGAGCTGTCGGACTTCTTCGGATTTGTGGGGGCGCTGCAATCTGCTGCTGCAGCAGAAGGCATTGACCTGCTGGACCCCGGGCTGCTGCAGCAAGTGCTGAAGGGGGAGGAAGGTGACCCGCGCATAACTAGGTTGCTGGACAGCGTGGAGCAGCAGCAGCAGCAGCAGCAGCAGCAGCAGCAAAGGCAGCAGCAGCAAAGGCAGCAGCAGCAGCAGAGGCAGCACCACCAAAAAGAACCAATGCCTGTCAAAGAAGCAGAACAAAGGTGTCGGCAGCAGTAGTTGATGTGCTGCTGCTGCACCTGGTCTTGTTGCTCCAGCTGCTGCTGCAGCTGCAGCTGCTGCTGCAGCTGCTGCTGCAGCTACTGCTGCAGCTGTTGCTGCTGCAGCTGCTGCTGCAGCTACTGCTGCAGCTACTGCTGCAGCTGCTGCTACAGCTGCTGCTGCAGCTACTGCTGCAGCCGTTGCTGCTGCAGCTGCTGCTGCAGCTACTGCTGCAGCTGTTGCTGCTGCAGTTGCTGCTGCAGCTACTGCTGCAGCTGTTGCTGCTGCAGCTGCTGCTGCAGCTACTGCTGCAGCAGCAGCTGCTGCAGCTGCTGCTGCAGCTACTGCTGCAGCTATTGCTGCTGCAGCTGCTACTGCAGTTGCCGGTGCTGATGCTGCAAGAGCTGCAGCTTAGCCGGAAGCATAACGGCTCCAGTCAGGCAGCAGTAAGGGCTGCTGTATCTGCTGCTGCGGCCCTCAATGCAGCGGCTGCAGCAGCCCTCCCACGAAGGCAGCAGGGCATGCTGCAGCAATAGCAGCAGCTGCAGCAGCAATTGCTGCTGCAGCACTGCTACTGCGTCGTTCAATTTGACCCGCAGCAACAAGAACAGGGGGTGTGACAGCGTAGTCTTCGGGTTTAGGGTTTAGGGTTAATAGCCGGGGTTTAGTAGCCGTGCGTGACATAAGTAGAGTTAGTAGCTTCGCGTGCTGCTGCTGCTGCTGCTGCTGCAAGCAGCGAGCTGCAGGGGGCACATGCTGCAGCTGATAGCGCTGCTGTACCGGTAGCCGCTCCTGCAGCATTCGTTGCTGCTGCGCCTGCTGCGGTTGCTACTGCTACTGCTGCAACTGCTGCTGCTGAGCCAGCTGCTGCTGCACCTGTTGCAGCCGCAGCTGTTCGTGTGTCTGCTGCTGCTGCTTGTGCTTCTGGTGCAACTGCTGCAGACCAGCGCTGCCTGCAACGGATGTTCCAGCAGCAGCAGCTGCTGCTGCTGGAACATGCGGCTGCCGCTGCTGCAAATGCTGCTGCTGCGGCTGCAGCATTTGTAGCAGCGGCAGCATTTGCAGCCACTGCAGCACTTGCAGCCGCTGCCACTGGAACATGCATCTGCCGCTGCTGCAGCAGCAGCAGCTGCTGCTGCAGTTGCTGCTGCAGCTGCTGCAGCAGCTACGGGCGCTATGTGGCGTTCAAATACTTAGGGGTGCCACCAGTTCTGGTCTGCGTCCATCACCGTGAGCTGCTGCAGCTCTTCGCTGCTGCCAGCAGCAGCAGCAGCAACGGCGCGCAGCAGTGGAGTCACAACTGGCAGCATCCAGCTGCGGGAGCCAAAAGCCAGAAAGTGGGGGTGATTTGCTACGGCCCTTCGGCTGCGCACTGAGGGTATGTACACTACAAAGCGAAGGATTTGCTGCTGCTGCTGCTGCTGCTGTTGCTGCTGCTGCTCACTGTGCGAGTCTGGGACCAGCGATCCCAGCGACCACCGTGCCCTTCCTTTCCTTCTCCAGCTTTCTGGCGGCTGCTGCTGCTGCAGCTGTTGCTGCTGCTGCTGCTGCTGCTGCAGCTGCTTGTTCACGCCCCACAGCTGCAGCAGCTTCAGCGTCAGCTCGTAGACCTGCTGCTCCCGCCGCGGCGGCTGCGGGTCCCAGCAGATGTACCTCTTGGTCAGCAGCTCCTGCACGTCGGGCGGCATTGGCTGCATCGCAGCGCGCCTGCAGCAGCAGCAGCAGCAGCAACAACAAATGCGGTGAATGCAGCAAATGTGGCGACCGCAGCACCAGGGTAATGCGCCCGCTGCTCATTCGCCTATCTTGTTAGCAGCAATGCTTCTATTGTTCTTGTAAGCAGCCGTAGCAGCTCCTTTGGGAGATCCAATCGAGCAGCAGCAGCAGCAGCAGCAAAACGGCAGCAATAACAGTAGTGACAAAAAATGATAAAGTAGGAGAAGCAGCAGCAGCAGCAGAAGACGTACTGATTTAGCGGCGCCAGCTCTACAGGAATCCTATGGGGCAGCAGGGCTTTCGGGGTTCCCGCTGCTCCAAAGCCAGCTCCAGCAGCTGCTCTAGCTGCTGTTGCTTCTGCTGCTTGTGCCTGCTGCAGCAGAGCCTTTGCTGCAGCAGAAGTCTGAAATGCGTCACTCACGCCAGCAGCGCAGCGGGGAGAAACAATCATGTCGCCGTCTAGGTTGGCAAAAACAGCCAGTCGCTTGAACTGCAGCAGCAACGAGCCACTTCTGCTGCTGCTGCTGCTGCTGCTGCTGCTGTCTTGTGTCTCTGCTGCTGCTAAGGAACACAAAAGGCGAGCGGCGTCTCGGTGTAAGTAAACCGGGCCGCTGCCTCCACTCCACACGAGAATGGTGGCAATGGGGGGGTCCAGCCTTAAGAGGCGCAGCGCAGCTTCTGCTGCAGATATTGCTGCTGCTGCTGCTGCTGCTGCTGGCCCTGCAACTGCTGCTGCTCCCTTCGGCGTTATTCGCGGGTTCTCCCGGACCCCGGCGAGAGCAGGAACGACAAAAGTGAAAGAAGTCAAGTCAAAAAACGGAGAAGACAACAGGCGCTGCACCAGCGCAGCTGCTGCACCTGCTGCTGCAGCGGCGGGACCCTGCAGCAGCAGCAGCGACAACAACGGCAGCAATGAGCATCCCGCAAGAAGCACCCAACGGGCCTCATACAGAGCAGCAGCAGCAGCAACAGAAGCAACAGCAGCAACCGAAGGGCTGAGCCTACTGCAGCCACTGCAGAAGCTGCAGCAGAGGCCAGCACTCGCAACTGCAGCAGCAGCAGCCAGAAGCAACGCAGCAGTTCGCAGCAAAGCGACCAAGGAATAGAGCACAACAGCAGCAGCAATACCAGTCGCGATAGCAGCAGCCAGAACGGCAGAGCCGCAGCAGCAGATAAGCAAGGCACAGCAAGCAAAATAGCAGCAGCAGCAGCAGCAGAGGCAGGAATGGCAGCAGCAGGGAGCCCAGCTGTGAGAGCAAAGGCGGCCGCAGCAGCAGCAGCAGCTCCACGAAGAGCAGCAGTGGCAGCAGCAGCCGCACCACCATCACCACTACCACAGCCAACAGTAGCAGAAATTGCAGCTAAAACAAACAGCAGCAGCAGCAGCAGCAGCAGCAGCAGCAGCAGCAGCAGTTCTGACATGGCCTTCCCAGATGGAGCTTTCTTTGGCCAAGATTGCTCTGGCGACAATGGAGCCGTGACAAGCAGCGTGTAGATACACCCGAACTCTTTTGCAGCCTTTGAAAAATCCTGCGCCCTGCAGCAGCAGGGGCTGAGCTGCAGCAGGGTCGCTGTCATCTGCTGCTGCTGCTGCTGCTGCTGCTGCTTCTGATACGGGCTCCGTGTTAAGCGACAAAGCGCGGTAGATGATTTGCGCCACCTGCTGGATCTGTCTGTACAGACACCCCGAGGGCTGGGAAGACTGTGGGGTCAGCAGCAGCACGCGGTCATGCTGAAGCAATAAACCGGAAAAAGCAAATCAAATGACAATTGCAGCAGCAGCAGCAGCAGCAGCGGTATCGAAGGCAAAAAGGCAGCAGCGAAAGCAGCGGCAGCAGCAACTGCCCCCGCAAAAGAGTAAAACCACCAACAGCAGCAGCAGCAGCAGCAGCAGCAGCAGCAAGCTTGCATGCACGCATGTGCTGGCTTTTGCATGCACAGCTGGCACAGATAAATAAAAAGACACGCAGCGCACTGCGCAGCAAAAGCCATGCAATTCCAGTGGGGTCCACTGGTCCTTGGCCCCTGCATGCATGCGCCCTGGACCACTGGACCACACTGGCTTCTGCATGCATGCACCCTGGACCAGTGGACCCCACTGGCCCCTGCATGCAAGCCCCAAAGACCAGTGGACCACAGCGGTGCCTGCATGCATGTGCCATGGACCACTGGACCACGCACTCCTGCATGCAGGCCCAAAGGACCAGTGGACCACTGGCAAACGAGTTGAGGCATAAATGTGAGAAGCGGAAATGCATGCGGGCAAAACGGCCCGAGGCGAGCTCGCAGAACTAAGGCAGCGCATGCAGACTTAAATAAATATAAAATATAATATAAAGTTGAAGTTAAAAAGTGCAGAATTTATATTTCTTAGCACATCTGCGGGGCTGTTTGCTTTTGCATGCAAAAGATGAATTATGAGTACTAAAGAGCGTCAGTCTGCTGTATGTACAGCAGCAAGGACAAAAGGCCGGAAGAAAACGAAAATATAAGAAATGAAACTTGCAAGTAAATAAAAGAAGAAATTCAAATAAAAGTGGAGAATGAGAAACACGAAAAGTGGGACTGGGAAGAGCCAGCACTGCAATGGTGTCTATACACCCCAGTCTCACGAGGCGCTTCACAGCAAGCGACAGGGCCAGTAGCAGCAGCAGCAGCAGCAGCAGCAGCAGCGGCAGAAGCCGATAAGCCGGGAATAGCGGCAGCAGCAACAGCAAGAAGAGCAGCAGCAGCAGCAACAGACGTAGCAGAAGCAACAGCATCAAGAAAGCAGCAGCAGTAGCACCCAAAGCAGCAGCACCAGCAACAGGACAGCAGCAGCAGCAGCAGCAGCAGCAGCCCACCCTCGCTTCTTTTTCAAGTTGCTTTTTGATAAAGTCCCACTGCCAAGTCCAGGTCCATTTCCAGCGCGAGTTTGTAATAATATCGCGCCCATGTATGAGAGCCACGAAGGCGCAGTCGCCTGCTGCTGCTGCTGCTGCTGCTGCTGCTTCTGCTGCTGCTGGGGAGTCCGCCGCCGTCCCTGCAGAGGGCTGCAGCCGGTACAGATACGGCTGGTAGAAGGTCCAGCTTCGGACGTAATCAGCAGCAGCAGCAGCTGCTGCTGCTGCTGCAGCAGCAGGCGCGCTTGAGCCGGGGTTTTGTTTGTCGGGGACAAGGCGGAAGGAAGGAAACTGAGACCAAGAACACAAACATAAGAAACCTGTGTTGTGTTTGCTGCTGCTGCTGCTCTTGCTGCTCCTGCTGCTTTCGCTGCTGCTGCTGCTTTCGCTGCTCCTGCTGCTGCTGCTTCTGCTGCTGCTGCGGCTAGTGAGCGCGTTGCAGATGTTTCTGCAGTCCTAAACACCTTCACAACAACCCTTTGTTTGCGGGACGCACGCAGACCGCGTCAGCAGGAGCAGCAGCAGCAGCAGCAACAGCAGCAGCAGCAACAGCAGCAAGAGCTTACCTTGTACTCTTCTGAGGCCTGAGTCTCGTATCCGCTCAGAAACAAGGCCAGAGCCAAGAACACAATGTGCATCTTCGTCGCTCCAGGCCCGAGCCAGGGTTTAGGGTTTAGGGTTTAGGGTTTAGCTTCAATGCATAGAGGCTAGCAAGTCTAGGGTTTAGGGTCTCGGATCTAGGGTCTGCAGCTATAAACTTGGCGTTCCCTATCAAACTTGAATAGTTACAAAAGGGTTTAGGGTTTAGGGTTTCGATTTTAGGGTTTCGGGCCGTTGCTGCAAAGCGGAGGCGAGACAGCGGCACACCGGCGAGCTCAAGCAACGCCATATACTAAGGTTCAGGGTTTAGGATTTAGGGTTTAGGGTTTAGGGTCGGGAATAAAGCGTTAAATTGGAAGTCAAGAAAAGGAAAAGCAAGAGGAAAAAATCGTCTAGAGAGACAAAGATGCGGCTGGCTTGCGGAGCGCTCAAGGATCCGCCGATGTCAGATTAGGGTCCAGGGTTTAGGGTTTAGGGTTTAGGGTTTAGAGCACCGCTTCTTCAAATCACCTCTGACGGCAATTTTTATCATTTTAAAATTTAATTCTTTCCTTTTTTCCCTTAACTCTCCCGGTTTTGCCGAGGCGCGCTACAGCCGAAGACGAGACATCAGCTGGTCTGCAGCGTTGGTCGATAACGAGAGGTTTGCTGGTGAGGGTTTAGGGTTTAGGGTTTAGGGTTTAGGGTTTAAAATTTGAGGTTCGGGGTGCATGATGCGGTTTAACACGTCGGCAAGGGCATCCCCGGCTCTCAAACTAGGCCAGCCCTAAACCCTAAACCCTAAACCCTACACCTTGTTTTCCTTCGGTTGCTGTGGGATCCAGTAGGCGCACTCGGCCTTTAGCATCAGCTCTAAACCATGAACCCCAAACCCTAAACCCTAAACCCTAGGGTTTGCGGCACTGTGTCCTGCTCTTTCAAGTGCATGGGGCCTCTTCACAGGCGATGGGCCTCGCGGTTTATTTGACTGCTTATGGGCGTTTGGCCTCGCCGGCAGCAGCTGCTGCTGCCGGTGCTGCAGCGGTTGCTCCTGCTGCTGCTGCTGCTGCTGCTGCTGTGGGAAGCCTCTAGCTTGCGCCTCAGCAGCAGCAGCTCCAGGAGTGCTGGAGGAGGGCCCCATGCGGCTTTCTTAGTTTCCAGGGCCCCCCTGGGGGGCCCCCTGGGGGCCCCCCTTGGGGGGCCCCAGGGGGGCCCCCTGGGGGGGCCCCCGGGGACCCCCTTGGGGGGCCCCCTGGGGGACCAACAAGGGGGCCCCCCAGAGGTGCCCATGTGGGGCCCCTCTAAGGACATTGGAAGCTCACTGTCTGTACACCCGAAGAGGCATTTCTCAGGAGCTGCTAGGAAGCCCAAGGGCTTTTCTTGCTGCAGCGATGAGTCTGCAGCTGCTGCTGCACCGGCTGCTGCTGCTGCTGCGCCGGCTGCTGCTGCTGCTGCTGCCGGCGAACCTGCAGGCGGTTCCGCTGCAGGAGCTGGTGGAGCACCGCCTGCAGCAGCATCAGCAGCAGCAGCAAGCGGCACGGCAGCAGCAGGCTCAGCAGCAGGAGAGCTAGCAGCAGCAGCAGCAGTAGCAGCAGCAGCAGAAACTGAAGAACTAGCGGGAGAGTGGAGCAGCAGGCTGCTGCAGAACGAGGGGCCCAAGACTTGGTCTCCGTCTTCGCTGTCTCCCTTTCAGGTGCCTCGCGATTTGCTGCTGCAGCTGCGGCCTGCTGCAGCTGGCGCTGCTGCTGCTTCTGCTGCTGCGATCACGCCGTGGACTGCAGCAGCAGCCTCGCGCTTCTTAGACGCAGCAACAGACACTTTTGTCCCCAAAGCAGCAGCAGCAGAAGCAGCAGCAGCAGCGCGGGAGGCGGCTTGGAGAGAGGCGCAGCATGGGGGCACAGAACAGCAAGTTGCAGCAGCAGCAGCCAGCGCTGCTGCTGCTGCAGAAGCTGCTGCTGCAGCAGCAGCAGCTGCTGCTGCTGCCTCGAAGGGGCCCCAGAAGGCAAGCAGCGACGACTTGTGGGGCTCCATGAGCCGCCTAATTCGCCGTCTTGTTGCAGAAGAGGAAAATGAAAATGAAAGTGAAAATGAAAATAAAAATGAAAATGAAAATATAAATGCAGATGAAGATTCCGAGACCAATTCGGACATTAGTGTAGAGCCAAGATTCATTCCCGATGACTGGACAGATGCCCCCAGGCCGTTTCTTGTGAGAGCTGCTGCTGCTGCTGCTGTTGCCCCAGCTAGTGCTTCGGCTGCTGCGGCCGCTGCCGTTGCAGCTGCTGCGGAGAGC